ACTTCGTTAACCGAAACAGCACTGAACGGGGCAGGTCCGCCGCAGGGACACAAATAAAAAAAATTGCAAGGGGGGGTCTTCTACGTTCTGGGTCTGACTTTAGGAGTGTCTTTACTCAAGTATAAAAAGTCAAACAATTTTAGACGGACCAATTTTCTCGTGATCTGCGTTGGAGAGCATGGCTGTAGAAAGCACGTTGTCAACAACAAAAACAAAAACATGAACTTCTTAAACATTGAAGTGAATCTTAAAGTAAATTCAGTCCGCACTCCGAAGTAAACAATGGTTGAAAATCACACTGGTTGCCAACGTAATTTGAATCAACCATAAATGTTTCAAACTTTATTTCTCTTTTGACAACCGGGTTGAATTTTGATTCAAGTATCATTAAGCGAACATATCCATTGTCTCAGTTCATGGCAAATAAAAACATTTTTAATAAAACTTATCACAAGCTACGGGTAAATAATCACTTTTTGTTTTGTTGTCTACGGTTTACATGTAAGCGATTTTATCTTTGTCACGGTGTAATGTCTATCTATGGTTGTCCTCAAAATGCACGATAAATCATTGCACATGCGCTCGACCAATCGTTTCACGACTCGACCAACAGTCTTGAGTCTCTGAGTTCTTGGCAGCCACCAAAGGAATCTATATCTCCACTTATTATCACAAATTATTAAATATCCTACCTTCTGATTTTCTAGTCTAAGGTTGGCAGGACACTGTAAGATTCAATTTAAAAGTTATTGAGAAAAAAAGTCAAAAAAATGAATTTAAGTTAGTTCACAAGTTAAAAATGCTAACCTTACATTTTGATTATAATTTGCTATTCATTTGTTCTTCCAACGGATCCTTCCAACCACAGAGCAAATCAGCAACAATATTCAAACGATCTTGTCCCCAAATGATTGCACCATTATTAACCTGATAGCTAGGAACACCACATACACCAGCTTTAACAGCCCTGTAGATTAAAATTTCAATAGTTGCTTCTACTGACAAAAAACTTTCATTAATATGGTAGACTGACACTATAGTTGAAAAACTTGCTTTAATTCAGGCACAAACCATATGAAAGCATCAGTGTTAGTGACAACTGAGAAGATTAATTGTACAATTCTAGAATTCACCTGTCAGTGTTTGCTCGAAGTTGATCTTTGATATCTTGTTGTTGAGCATTGTCAAACATCTTGTCAGCATCAAAGCCAACTTTGTGCAAAATCTCTCTTAAGACCTATATAAAACAATCATTACAAGAAAGAACTACCAGATAATATTAATAAACATTTTAATACCTCAACATCACCAATATCCTTATCCTCAATCCAAGCAGCTTTATCTGTAGAATGAACTCAAAAAAATCAAGAAGACTTATATAAAATTTTTTTACTTACAACAGAAGTAATACATACATAATGCAGCCTGAAGTTCACTATCATTTCTGCTAGCCAGCAACAAACGCATTGGTAAAACAGTTTTTAATGGAAAATTTGATGGAAACTTAAAACCTTTGATACCATGGAATGTGCACCAATCATTAAGACTCTTTGTCAGGTAAGTAAGTTTTGCAGCACTGAAATGCCTCATTGGAACCTTAAAAATGTTTGCTAATAAGTAAATCAGGATTAATATTTCCATTCATTCAGTTCAAGAGATGCCTTTATATTTGAACGTAAAGTTTCTTTTGTCACATGATGTACCTAGATGGTATGATTTAAAAGAACGAATGACATGCATTTGGGAGAGCAATTTCATTATTTCATAATAATCAACATACAACAGGTGTTCCAATTTGCTTGAACAAGGAGCCAACCACAATAGGCAGAGATTCAATTGTTACGTTTACTGGTTTAACAACCTTTATTAGATTTTCTACCTGAAAAATAAAGGAGATCAAAGGAGAAGAAAAATTAACAACTTCTTTTAATCATAACAACCCGGTGTATGTATGCTAGTGCAACATAAATAAGAAATAAGACATAACATAAAAAACAATGTCGGAATTTCGACTCATTAAAAATATAAAAATAGCCAGGTCAATAATAATAAGTTCAATGAGAGAGATAAATTGGTAAAGAGAAAAAGCGAATTTGATACACATTGATAAATGGAGATGTTTTCTTGTAGATTTTGAAAAATTTGTAAACATGTGTAACCTGTGTTGATCCTAAAAAACTCCATGGGCTTCCAAGATCATGATAAATTGTCAGGTTAACAGATTGAGGTGTCTTCGGTGGTTCAGTGAGTCGCGGGGGAGATGCACTCTTTCCACCTAATTCACGTTCAACAAAATGTAAGTTATCCACTCCCCAAAACAGTTTACCATTCACAAGAAAACTATAAATAAAAATAAGCATGCATGTATCTACATTCAACAAAAAGATATCATCAACAACAAAAGGCATTTGTAAAACTTAAATACCATAAAAATCAGCTATTTCTCTAGAAAGTACATGCATATCACTACCTTGGTACACCAAAGGCACCATTTTCTAATGCATCCTCTGTATTTTTCATCAATAATACTGTTCCACTCTTAGCAATGATGTCTTGCACATCCACATTCCAGCCAATTGTCCGAGTAATTTTTTGTAGTACTTCACCACTTGTTATATCTATAAAATTCAATGGATAAAAATTGCATAATATTTGATTAGTATGTGTATTAAAGATGACTGACAAGCTGATATGTTGGCCAGAATATACCTTTATTTTCAATCCAGTATGATGAAAACAGGGCATGTGTTAAGCTTACTCGTAACTTTGAATCACAAGAAGTTGCAGCCAAAAGTCTCATTGCAGACAGGCTGTTGGCAGGATGGGATTCTGGTGGATTGATCGGAACGTTGAATCGCTGAACCATTCTTGCAAATTCTAGTAATAGACAAAAAAATATAAATTCACAGAAATGAGAAAACTATATAATCTCAAATGAAATAAATACTCACGTTGACGAAGAATAATTTTTTTCGCATTGCAGCTATTAACCATGGGCGATTGTGATTCATTTGCCTTATACAAAGCATCTTTATGAAAAAACAACAATTATTCATATGTCAACTACAATTTAATTTGCAATTAACAGACTCACTCAACAATACAGGTGTCCAATGGATTTTTGCGGCACATTGCTCAGCTATACGCTCAATTAAACGACTAGCTACGTAAGCAAACGGGCAAACAACATCGTAATAAAATGTCAGTTCGGCCATCACCTTGTTTCGATGAAAAAACGAGACAAATATTTGCATAGGCGTACGGGAGCTTTCGTTTCTGAAGGGGGCAGTGAATATTTTTTCCAACTCACAAAGGTTCTGCCGTTTTCAATCTTTAAACTTTTTATGAGGGGCAGCTGGCACCCTGTCTCGTGCGCCTGTGAGCAGTGAAGACCTGGTGGAGACATTGATATGACGTTACAGTCTTCGTCCATGAATACATTGAATATTAAATTATAAACATGATTATTGAAAAGTGTTGCCACTCAACATTTCCCAGAATTTCTTTAAATTTTTGCGTTTGCGTTATTGGTTTTAAGTCCCAAGCCCCAAAATCAGGAAAAAATCTCCAGACGCTAACGATTTCGTTTCCAACTTCATTTTTTTGATGTATAAGTTAATAAATGAAAGCAAAAAATAGCATTGAACTGAATGAATTTAGTTTTATATAAATCCGGAGAGTCTCCTGCAGTGGTATCGCAATCGCATAGTAGAGAGCTTCATCGTTAAAATATTGGCTGTACAATGGTACAGCGTAGTTATAAACGCAATTACAACCACACACTAGAGAAAATTAAGACCGTAGGAGAGAAGGGCGAGAAAGATGGCGTAAATTAAAGGCCATACCAGATAAAAAGCCGTCAATAAATACAATTTTGTAACGATGACACATTTTTCATCATTTTTGCCCAAAATGAACATTTTTAAACTAGGGATGGAAATAAAGAAGATATGGACTACATATGCATATAGTGCATGTTTCCAATAACTACTGTCTTTTTTGACTTGTTCATTTTTCATAACTCATTTATTACGACTTTCTTTTTTACGGGAATACAAATAACTTATGAATAATTGAGCTTCTTACAACGGTGGATCCAATTTTTATCAACAGCATTCCCAAAATTGAGAAACAATGTCGTTTTCAGTTTATAAAACAATGACACTGTGTGTTCATTTACAAAAAAGCGAATAAAAAGAAAGCATGTTTATTTGGCTTAACATGGCTTACCTCACACAAAATTTTTGGAAATGATTTTTAGTTCATGTAATAAGTTTGGCGTTTGTACTAGATGAATATGTTTTGCTGATACAATTATGTATTTGCTGTTTCAACCATCAGTGGCTACGTCAATTTTTTAAATATCAAAGAAATAGTTCATATCACATAGAAGTAGCTGCTGGAAGGTTTAATTTTAGACTGAAAGCAAATTACATTAAACATAAATCTATTCTTGTAATCGCAATTATCAATGAGAAAAACCGTATAGTTATGAAAACCAGAAACTGTTTTACTATCACACATGATTCTACACTTATTCGAACTATAAAATAGGCTCGTTCACTATTATGTAACTATATAATTTTGTGGAAATAAATTAGCATTTAGTTTTTTAATTATGATAAATACACATGCAGCCTTTTATTCCATAAGTATATAATGTAATTTATTTCATTTTAACGGCTAGAATTTACTATTTTATTTTCTTCTTGGACCGTAAGGTTAGCGTCAAAGTCTGGATGACTCAGGTTCTGGGATTCCTAAAAATAACAAAAGTTTATTAAAAAAAAGAGAACGGAGAAACGACATATCCCGAAACCCTTTGAAGAAATACTCACGTGTTCCAAATACTTCTACTTCACATAAACTTAAAGACTTGTGTTTCCCAGGAATACGTATAGTCAAGAAACGTCCGACCATATTTGGACATGATATAACCTTGGATGCACCGCTTACAGTGTGAAGTCCACCACATCTAGGACTACGGCCAGCATCTTCACCAAAGTAATCTCCAATGCGAATTTCAAAGTTTGATAATCTATCTTGACAACAATCTTGTCTGTTAAAAATTCTAACAACTGAGACGTTTACAGAGCCGGGTTCAAAGGACACGAACCAGAATGGATTGTCTTGAGTTGGAGTATGAGTACATGAGAAGTCTTGATAATTACCACTTCTATTACCATCAACTGCTCTAAAAGCATAGCCACCTCTGCTGGTATTTGACTGCGTTGCGTAAGAACCCAAGGCATAATTGGCTAAAAAATTGAGAAAATGAAAATCAGGGTCACGGTTATGAAATCAATTGTTGAAAAAGTATGAAAAAAATCTGAAAATTTCTTCTAAGATATCTGAAATAACAAAGATGCAAATAAATGAAAGACAACATAATTACTTACTTGCTTCAGGTGGAATAATCACATCAGATGAATTTTCACTGGTTGGATCTAAGAATATGTATGTTAAAATGACATAAAGTATTGGATACAATTGAATAAAGATGAGCATGGTTTACATAAAACTGATGACGAGATAAATGTTACAATTGAATGTAACCAACGTGGATAACTTTTACAGAGAACTGTATATTTGTTTATATCACATGAGATATAACCTACTAATGTTTTATTATCCATTAATAAAACACATAGAAAATCTACAGAGAGTCATTTTGTTTCTAACGTTATTGTCTATGTTATTTTCACAACATTTTCATCAAGAAAATCTTCAAATGGCAAAATATTAGCAATAAAATTTTTAAGTTTATAAAAACAATTCTTACCAGGTGGGACACATATAGTTTGTTCACAGGTACATTTACTGTCTGATGGTCCAGAAGGTACTCGTATTTTCTTACGAATATATGGAGGACTACACATGCTGATTCTAACTGATGGGCATAATGATGTACATGCAATAGAGCCTTCTTCATTGCAAGTACAAAGTCCTGTACATTGATCGTTGGTATATTGCTCGCCGACTTTCAACAGACGGCCATTTGAAAGAGGACAAGCTAATAAATAATTAAAAAAGTTTTACAATTGTACTCGCAATTGTTTTAAATGTAAAAGATTATAGTTGCTGCATAATTATAAAAAAATCTTATAAAATTAAATCAAGACTAACTAAAATATCTTTAGCGAGGTTAACATATCAATACAAAAGAAATATGCTGTTAAAGAAAGGAAAGTTGAAAAGGAAAACACCTCACCATTGTAAGGAACAGTTATCAATGTTGATTTCTTGCGTTGAGCCGTAGGAATAAGTCTTATCTCCACTTTATCATTCAATGTGAGACGTTCTAATGATATTGCATCGTAAACCATGAATGTCAAAGGGTCTGCACTATTTAGTATAAGTGTTCTAGTTAAGACTTTTCCTGAGTCAATTTGGGGTAGAGCTTCTGTTCGTTCGTATGATGTTTGTATAATAATTGGGTTGCTGTGTAAATTTTTTATTGAGAATGAAGCATAATACGGTCCTGAAAAAAGAATAAATTACATTTTCTAAAACATGAATGGAACAAAATGAAAAGTACTAGTAAAAACGACTAGCTTTCAAAAATACAATTTCAAGTATCACTAAAATACTCAAAGACATCCAGAAAAATCAATACAAGCGTTCAACCACAATAATGGGCAACATAGAGCAAAGAATTTTTAAACGTAAACATAAACATAACAGTTGATTGTTTGTCATACCTGCACTCGGGACATGGTAAATATTTAAAGTTTCAGGTTTATTCCTGCTTGGTGTTAGAGTTATAAACTCTTTGTCGTCAATCTTGATCATATCATTGGTAGTAGCATCAACAGCACGGATATTGACGACGTTTTGATGTAAAAGCAATACTGTCTTTGAAATCTGCTGGTCTTTAGGTACATTAATGGTATTATGGGGTGATGGCATGTTCGTTGCAAGATAAATGTTTTGACCATAGGAATTCTTTACACCAAAGCGAACGTAGTACACAACTAAAATATTTAGAGCTGTTCAGTAAATCAAAGTTAAAGGTTTTAAATTTCTATGAAGATATAACTTTACCAATTAAACTGCTAAAAATGAAATGTTTATTCGTAAATGTACTTAAAAATACAAGCTGTGGTAGTGTATGTCGACATAACCTTGTCCGCCATTTGTGCCAGGAATGTGCACGAATTCAATAGAAAAGTAGATTGTGTTGCAAAAATAATTTTGTGTCTCCTTTACTTCTCTGGAGTAAAATTACTATCATTTTATAAGGAAATGAAATCAATATGCATTTCCAAAATGATGTCAAATTAATTTGAGTTAAAGAAAAATAATATCATGTGACCAATTAAATGTCGAGCTCAATAAATTCATATGAATGAATGATGGAAAAAAGATTTTTTTATCAATAACATTATTCTCAAAAAAATTGTTATAGCAATATAAGTAGGCAGGTAGAGATTTGAATTTTTACAAATATATAACTTTTCTCTCCTATTTACTGTGTTTGGTTAAGATTAAAGAATATATATATATGACATATAACAAGTACCATTATTATCAACAATATGGCCAAAAGTAATCATATATTGTTACCACATACCTCTTGCAGGAATATAAAGTTCAACTTGTGGCTGCTCAGCTTTGGTAGGTTGTAAAAGAACCATTTCTCTTCCATTTATCATCACCCTCCTACCAGTGTTTGCATCAATAACGGTGAACACAATGCTAGAATTCCTAGGTGTCTTTATGGTCATTTCAATGGAGCTTCCAGCCGAAACACGAATTGAATCATGAGGTGCATTTAACGCACTTCTGATTATAACATCGTTCTCATATTTATTGAAAAATTTCAATAGAAAGTAATAGGTTGCTGAAAAAGAGTAATTGAAAAGAACATGGATCATTCGTCGAAACAAGATATGAAATTTTGTGCACAAAATGGCTTCAACTTTTGGCTGGAAGAAGCCTTCCAGTTACATTCAGTTCAGTGCCCTGTACCAATAAAACAGTAATGTGAAACAAATTATCCAATTTACTTACTGTAATCTTTAAAAGGAACAGCTAAAGTATAAAATCTATTGAGGCCAGGAGTTAACCGAATAAGGAATCTGTTGTTTATTTGCAAAAGTTCTGTATTTTGCAAGAAGTCATATGCTCTAAGTTCAACATCTTTGTTGGAGGTGACATTGACATTCACAGTTATTTTTTGGTTTGGATTGAAAGTGATTACATTATAGGGTTTCGGTAAATTTGTTTGAAGATATATTTTCTTATCATATCTATTCTCGACTGAGAAACGAAGTTGGTACTGTGACGATGAATCTAAAGTACAGGAGAGAAAATTTCAGTTACGAAAAATTGAGAAGCTGGTGCACAATAAATGAAAAACATGAATGCATACCTATTTCTGGGTAAGGTACAACATATTGGTTTGGAAACACTGTTACTGTTGACCTGCCATCCACAGAGGTTGGTAAATTTGTAACAGCATCATATAAACTGATGATAATAGGTCGTCGATTGGTAACGGTTACGTTGTATCTAAAAGACTGTCTCGGTTCCACTGTGATGTCATTGTAAGGTGGTGGAAGTAGAGAACGAAGCACAATAGCTTTACCAGCAGTGTTCACAAAGGTATAAACGAAACTGTAGACGCGACGATCTACAAAGCAATGAATAATGTTTGGATGACGTTTTCAAAATTATATTTGCTTGAATGTATGATTATAGTTTTGAATTTTTCATGGGCTAAATTCATTGACGAAAAGTTTGACAATTAAAGCGTCGTTTCAAACAATAATAAAGCCTGTTTACTTACATCTATTTGGAACACCATAAAGTTCAGCAACTCCAGGTGATTCTTGTGGTATTAAAGTAATAGATCGTCTTCCATTGAGTGTGGTTGCAACGCGCGTTTCACGATGTTCAGCTTGTATATAAACAGGTTTGGAATCAAAGTGCACAGCGTTTATTGTGAAAGTATCGGAAGGACGAACATGGAACACTTCATAAGGACTCTCGAGAGTTGTTCGTATGGTAATTTCATTTGCAAGGTTGTTTCTTACACTGAACGCAATATAATACCTTGGTTGAGGACGCGTTGGTTCTATGAAAAAAGAATACGTAAAAAGGTTACGAAATAAAAGTTTACTTTCGCAAATTTTGTTTGTTAGTTGATGCTAGCAATGAAAAATTGGAAACATAAATGAATTTAAACACATGAGTAAATTCTCTTGAAATAAATATTTAGAACAGGAATTACCTGTCATTAGGAGTGGAACACCGAGTCGAATAAAGGATTGCTTGTTTTCATTTGGAAAAATAACAAAAACTGTACGACCGTTAATTGTACGCGGACGTGATAATTCATCGACAACCCTTATAGCCACAGGCGATGAAGATAACAGTTGTATGGTCTGCTTCTTTCCCGGTTCAAGTACAATATCTTTAGGATGTGTTGAAGAATTTGTTTTTATAGTCACTTCATTGATGTAGTTGTTTGTGATGGAATAAGAAATATATGTCTTTTTTGGTGGTTGAACTGTAAAAATACAAACATGGCGATAATGAAAAAATACATTAGTTTTTAAACTCAATTTTTTCATAACAACAAGACAAAAGCATATAATATATTTGGTACATGAAAAACCCCACGAGATTGCTTTGGTCAGAGTAAGCAATAAACAATGAAACAGTTAGAATCGACATGATTACCAACACGATACTAGGTCCAAACCACACACTGTTTACCATGATTAAAGTTTAAAATGATAAATACTTTGTTCACTTATTGCTTACCATTTCCAATATTAAGCAGCTGAGGATCACCGCTTAGTTGTCTTGTAGGCGATAAGGTAACCATATATCTGCCGTTGACTAAGACTGGAATACCTGTCTTTTTGTCATAAACACGGAAAGAGACAGAGTTCGGACTCGTCGTGTTTATTTTTAACGTAAATATTGCACGGGAAGCGATGTCGAAGGTGTTTTCACGAAGATTCATTGTTGTCACTAACTCCACAGGATTTGGGTAGTAATTTGTTGCTCGTAAGTTGAAATAGTAATTGAAGGTTTGATCTAAATAAAAAACGTTTGTTTTCAAAAATCGACTTTCATGTTTTCAGGTCATTTACAACAACAAGAACAACAGAATGATTCTTATGTTCAATATGAGTACTAAAATTATGTAATAACTCTTTGGAGTACCTAATCATGCAAAAACTTTCATGTTGATAAAAACATTCTAATTTTAGGTCGCACTTGGTTTAACAACTTGGCAAAAAATGAAAAACTTACCACCAGATGACACACTCAGTGTAGTTGCACGCCTGGTACTAGTTGAAGGTTGAACGGTAACAAAGTTCCTATTATTAATCTTCATTTGTCGACCAGTGTTGGAATCATACGCTCTAATTTCCACTAGGTTTCTACTGTTTGTAGGGAAACGAAAAGAGATCCTGCCAAGGGCTCGAATGATCCTGTTCTGAGCTTGAGGATCGTCTAATGTTGTCACAAGTCTAATCGGGTTATTTAAATTGTTCTCCACATAAAGATACAAGTAAAACTGTTGAACTACACCTATATATATGAAAAAAATTTTTTTTTCAATAAAAAACTCATCAGTTTCTTCATGCACTATTTATATATTGACTATACAAATGATTATACTTCGTTTTAAGCAGATAACTGGTTAAATTGCCCGTTTCCTTATTTTACAATTACATTATATGAACAATTACCTTTAGTAATCCGTATTGGCCAAAATGTAGTTTGAGATGTGCTTGTAGCCAATGAAGCACTTTCTTTGCCGTTGACAAGTAGTCTTTGCTTGGAGTCTTTTTCAATGGCGTATATAACCACATTGTTAGGACGTCTTGGACGAATCACATAACGCAACTGAGCATTCGATGATATAGGAATTTCTTCAAACTTGCGGACTGAAGTCTTTACTATGACATCCTTGTTTACATTGTTTGAGAAATTGACAGGAACAAAATATTGAATTGGAGCTAAAAAATAAATATCAAACTTTGCTTACTTGAAAAACAAATACAGGTATTTTACAGAAAGACAAACCTATTGATACACTCTATAAAAACTGAAACATTTATGCTAAACGTTTCGAGAAATAATACATGTCATCATCAATAGAGTATGTGAGCTTTGCAAAAGTTATTTGTATTTTATTTTTTTCCTTCTTTTGTAAAAAAAACACACGCATGAACAATATGAAATTATTAAAGGTGTTTACAGCGTTCGTTGATAAAATGAAGTTTACTGTGCTGGACAGTTTGCCTGTCAATAACTTTTACATATTAAAATATAGTATACATTAAATTGCTAATGCAAACCTTATTTAATGTTAAATTGAAAATACTTACTTCTTATGATGATAGTTGACGTGACTGCATCATAACCAAAGCTATTAGCGGCCCGACATTGATATTGACCGACGTCATTTTCAGACAGAGACTTAATACGAAGACGACCGCCTTTTTTAATCTTCACATTCCCCTTTGAAGAAACACGATCACCATTTCGCAGCCATGTTATAGCAGGCGTAGGTATTCCAGTAGCTTGGCACACAATGGTAAGTGAAATGTTTCGATGGGATGATATTTCCGAGCCAACAAGTGTTTGGTAACGTTTCTTACGAGGTGGAATGATTTCACGTGCTTTTTGATTTCTTAAAATTTGAGGGGCTTCTAAACAAGAATCAAAAATTATCAATAGAAGCTAATAAATTTTTGATATATTAATGTCAGGAGATATTATATCGTAAAAAAGGCCAAAGATGCAATAAGTTATCGTTAACTTTTACGTAGACATAAATAAATGCATGTACTGTCAAGCAATTGTATCAATAAACTAGGAATTCCAAAAGTCGCGATATCTTGCTTTATTTGTAATTTGACTCAACTTTAATCAATGTTTATACATTGCCATATATCTGTTCAATTAAATACAACTGTTCTATGTATACTTATATTCCATATCATAAGCAGGGCCTTTATCAGTTTCTTGGCGAAAATCGTTAAAATTGTTATGTCTGCTTTCCTATACAGATTGAATTTTTTGATGATTAATTTAGCAAAGCTATTAAAAAAATATGAGAAGATTACGCGATAACTTAAACAAAAATTAGGTACCCCATATTTTAAACCCTTGGGTTCTTACATTGTGTTTCATTACATGAGAGAAACAGGATTTAAAAGATGTATCAGTATATAAACTGCACACAAGCATTGTTCTTATGTCATTTTAAAGTAAAATGATGATTGTTATAATAATTTATATGCTGTAAAATAGACAACATGAACAATGTTAAGATGAAACACAAACAGCATATTTGTCATTTAACAATTTGAACTGGTGTAAAAAAGAATGTAAGAGAAAAAAACATAATTTGATTACTATATTTCACCAATTATATTTTTTATTTGTCTGAACTTACAAACTAACTCTCAGTAAAACATGAAGTTGAAATTTTCAAACCTTTTTCAAATATTTCATTTCTCTATAAAATATAACCTCGAAGTTTCTAAGGCGTTTCGCAAACATTTAAGTATTTTAAGCTTTTAACCTAAAGCTGCACATACCTGCAACTGAGTAGAATCCACCCAACCCAACCCCCTGTAAGGTGTACACTTCTTGTTTTAACCTAAAGCTGCACATACCTGCAACTGAGTAGAATCCACCCAACCCAACCCTCTTGTAAGGTGTACACTTCTTGTAATCATTTTTATTTTTGCCACCTTCTCACAATATTGCAAAGTTTTTTTCAAAAAATAGAAAACATATTTTACAGTTAAATTTTGGATGTAAAAGGAGAAAATTAACTGGAGAATTCAAAATACTATAAGAAACGCAAATGATTTATGCGTTTATAAAAACATCAGAATTCCTTACATAGTAATATATTTACGATATTCCTGCATTAATTATGAAATAACAATAGCCTTCGTGAAAAAGTTAAGGAAACATTTACACGTAAAAGCACTAACCTCCAGCTATGGGTGTTGTTACTGCTTGACGTGGTGTTGCTAGAAATGAAATTATAATCATGCAATCAATAAATGTGAGTAAAATCAATTGAAAATCTCATGATGCATTCTTGAAATCTAATCTTTACAAAAACCAAAACAGTTTTTGTGAAAAAGTTAAGACACCAATAAAACATGAAATACAAGCACTAACCTGTCGTTGAGGGTATTGTTGTCATTTGGCTTCCTGTCACTACAACTAAAATTTGTACTCATGTGAGTCTTAATTGATGAATTTGTGTGAAAAAGATGAGATGAAAATCTCATAAAATCTCATAATGCATTCTTCGCACGAGTCTTCAATCTTTACAAAAAAGCGAATAGCCTTTTGAAAAAGCTATCACAGTTTCTAAATGTATCAACATGACGTGGATGTATGAAAGTACACATAAAATACAAATACTAACCTCCAGCTACAGGTGTTGTAACCGTTTGGCTTCGTGTCACTAGAATTAAAATTTATAGAAATGTGAGTTTTTATTGATCCAACTCATGTGAGTAAGATGACTGAGAAATGTAATGATAAACGCATATCAAGTAATAAAAAGTGAAAAAAACCCACAAATGCAGAGGAGCAATACCTTGTGTTGGGGTAGAGGAAGTGGACGTTCTGCTTTCTAAAAAGAAAAAAATTAGCGAATTACAAATGAGAAGTAAAAATAACTACGCGTGAAAGCTGTGATATCTAAAGCAATCGGCTGCATGTTGTCAATAAATAATATTTTTAAAAAAAATTCCAGTGAAATTTTGCAGTGCGTATTGTTGTTGAATACGGTAGAGTTACAATGATTCCAAACTCTATACCTGGGAGCACGCAAATAGCTTGTGGACAGAAACAGTCAAATCTTTTAGGATCAGCAGGAATAACAACTAACTTGAGAGTGTATGGTAATGTACAACCCAATAAATTGAAAGTTTGTAGGAGACACATCCGACGACATTTTGCGCCGCTAGATTTACAAACACACAACCGGCTACAATTATCCTCGGAATATTCCTCTCCAATCTTCACTAGTTCACCAGATTTTTTGATGCAGCCTAAACATTACGCACATTTAGAATTGAAATTTCTCTCGACGCAAGTAAGTTATTTTTTACCCTGGCTCCTCAAAGAAGTGACTGTTCGCAAACGGAATAGCTAAGCGTGCCGTTGTTTGTAGACAGCGAAAACATCGTCTAAGAACGTACCTGGTTCTTCAGTGACAGTGAGGGATACGTAAGGTGTCTGTGGATCTATTGATGGTGTGAGAAGGAAGAGTAAGTATCCATTGATGTAAATCCTTTTATTTGTCAAAACTGTAAAGGCACTGATTGTAATATTTCGGAATGATGGCAAGCCAATTGATTTAGTAAGAGGTATGCCAGGTTGAATCTTGAAATAGTTATTCGGTGACGGAAGATCTGTTTTAAGCCGAATGGATCCAGTGTATTTGTTGACAACCTTCATTCGAACGTAATACGAAAGAGTTTCTATAAAAAATATTTTTCGGATCTGAGTTAAATAATTCTCCACGTCCACGCGAAAATAATTTCCTGTTCCTAAAGAATATAATTTGAATGTATGACCAGTAAAACGCATTTTTTTCACAATAACGCGTTAAACGTCAAAGGTAAAGTTGTCTTTGAAATTTGTAAAGAAAAAAAAACACAACAATACTACAACAACAAATACAAATATAAAAACACCAACTTTAACGAAACAAATATACATCAAACACAACAAATGCATTCATAATTGTAAAACTTTGTGATTTCATTACGTTGTTAAAAAGAAAAAAAAATGAACCTGTAGTACTAGCTGTTGTTTCTACTGGAATATGCGTTGTTTTTGCTTGAGTTGTTTCAGGTCTTAATGAAGCCGATGTAAACTCTTTTGTCGTAGTATTAATCAAAACTGATTTTGTACTAGAGGCAGGCGTCGTTGGTACTGAAGTTGTTAAATTCGTGGTTACAGATTTGTCAATCACTAAAAACAAATCAAAGTTTTTATAAATTCCAATGTAAAAGAAATATTACATAAATGTGGGTATAGAAATATACAAATGCTACCTTTTGTAGAAGTTCTTGATGTTGGCTGCAATGTTGAAATTGATGCAAATACCGCTAAAAATAAGAAAGCGTTTAAAAGTATTATTTTACACCGAACACATTCATTAGCTAATAGAGAAATGGAAACCACAATTAAGAAAGGTTGTAAAAATTAAAAAAATGAACTAAAAAAAGAAACCAACCCTTATTTTCGTCGAGTCTTAAAACAGTAATGTTGCTTGAATATTCATTTGGTTTTAAAGAGTATTTTTCCAAACCATTGATTTTAATTCTTTCGCCATTACTTTGCAAAAATGCCTCAAGCATAGCAAGTTCTTCATTTGATACTTTCACTGTTAAACGAACTGTTTGACCATTGATAATAACCAGATCATCGAAAGGTTTCCGTAGGTTAGTTTTAAGGTTAATGTTGTAACCATATGTGTTCGAAATGATGAAAGAAACGAAATACACCTTCGTCCCAGGAGCAAATGTGGGAGCTATACAAAAGTAATATATCCCCAAGTTAATAAAGCAAGGGAAATATCAAAAAAAGAGTACATACATACCAGGAATTACTGTGCCAACAAACAAAACTTGAAATGATGCACCAAACATAGAACTAGGCTTGATTTCAACACTTCTTTCACCATTAATGTTTAGTTCCCTAGAGCTTTTTGAGTCAATTGCTGTTACAGCAATAGGATTGTCGTTGCTAGGTTGTTCACTGACAACAAAAGTAGTACCAGTTTTAATTAGTATTTCCCCTGATGATCCAGGAAGTTCGGTAGACACCACAATATCATCTCCGTGATTATTTACAATCAAGAAAACAACGTAAAATTTCTTCTCGCCTGATAGAAAAAAAAGAAAACACGAGAAAATTATGCAAGGAACCATATATCACGGAAATTACTAGTAAATGATTACAACCTACCCGGTTTCACTAATATTTTGTAAATATAATCCTTCGAAACAGTCGGGTATATAACAACATAATTATTCTCCTCTATAATAACAGGAATGCCATCACGACGATCAAAGACTCTAAGAATAAAGGGCACATCGGAAAAACTTGTTCTGTTCACTTCAAACTGTGATCCTTCTTCAACAACAAAATCATCCAGAATTTCAGAGCTCGTACGTACATCAACATCGTAACCATAATCATTTTGAACTTTTACGTTCACAAAATAATTTATTTGTGTGCTAATAGTGGATTCTGTTGAAACAACTGAAGATGTAGTTGATATTCCAGGAACTAATGTACTTTTGTTAACAGGTGCTTGAGAACTTGAAACATACGGAGTTGGTATATATTCTGAAGTTATATTAAATGTAACTTTGGTACTGACATCAACTGGAATCTTGGTACTGACATCAACTGGAATCTTGGTACTGACATTAACTGGAGTCTTGGTGGAACTGACATCAACTGGAGTCTTGGTGGAACTGACATCAACTGGTGTCTTGGTGGTACTGACATTAACTGGAGTCTTGGTGGTGCTGACATCAACTGGTGTCTTGGTGGTACTGACATCAACTGGTGTCGTGCTGGTACTGACATTAACTGGAGTCTTGGTGGTGCTGACATCAACTGGTGTCTTGGTGGTGCTGATATTAGCTGGAGTCTTGGTGGTACTGACATCAGCTGGAGTCTTGGTAGTACTGACATTAACTGGAGTCTTGCTGGTGCTGACATTAACTGGAGTCTTGCTGGTGCTGACATCAACGGAAGTCTTGGTACTGACAACAACAGGAGCTTCGGTACTAACTGTTGGAACTGATGTTGATGGTACATGGGTAGTTGTTGTTGAAGAAACGATTATGCCTTTCGTTTTTCCAGTAACATCTAATAAATAAAATATAAGAAAAATATGTAATTTGACTAACAGTTATATGTTTGGCAACCATCAGTAAAAATTTCAACTAATTAAAACCACAAATAATAGCTATAAATCAAATTTTTTATTACATTAATGAAATACGTACTCGGGGATTCTCCTTGAGCACTCAAAATGTACATCCTCTCTAAACTTTCTTGTGGCAACAAATGAAACACATCATCCCCATTTATCGCAACTCTTTTACCAGAATCTCTTTCAAAAGCCTCAAATCTTACAAGATCATTCGTACGAACTGTGAGTGTTATGTTATACGTTTGTCCAATAGGTAAAGTTAATTGCTTAAACGGTACTGGTAAATCTGTTTGTATCAAAATATCTTTGCCATGCGAGTTCTCAATAATAAAACTCACAAAGTAAGTGATAGGAGCTACAGAAAAATTCAAAAAATAAATTGTTATTTAAGCAACAAATAAAGAGAAAAAGTCAAAATACATGAATAGTAATTATAAGACAAAGCCAAGTACAGGATTTGCTAGTCATTTAAGCAAAAAACAAAATCATTAAAAAGATAACTGATGTCGAATACAGCAAACTGTACTAGAAGATATATTCAAAAACATCTCATTATGTATTTCATTACATGAAAATTAATAAAACCAAAACGAATGCAAAAGCTTGTATTGAACACTCATTATATTTGTTAAACAAACAAAACCCTTAAACCAAACACTTTTGAGCACAAACAGACGGTGAAAAGAGACATGCTGTATGTCTACAATACACAGTACACCGCTCTAACGTGAAAGATGATTATGTTAAATGCTAAACCGTAGTTTGTGACAGTGTATTTACGCAATGACTAAGTTTTGTGCATTAATGAATTATCAATAAAATTAAACAAACATTACCAGCGGTAGAAACTTTCAAGGTGGGTCGAAACGTTGAAATCAATCCATCAAGAGCTAAAACATTTTTTTAAAAAAAGCGTCAAAAAAAATCATTCCACTCAAAAAACACAACTTACTGCACTAAAATCAAGTTGAAAGATGTAATAAATCAAATAACAAACCTGGGTTTTCTGCAAGTCTTAAAACAGTGATGTTCATCGGGTTCTCTTTTGGTTGTAAAAAGTATTTATCAACATCATTAAGTTGGATTCTTTCGCCATTCTCTTGCACAAATGCCTCAAACATAGCAAGTTCTTCACTTCCTACTTTCACTGCTAAACGAACAGTTTGACCATTAATGATAACCAGATCATTGAAAGGGTTCCGTAGGTTAGTTTTAAGGTTAATGTTGTAACCATATGTGTTCGAAATGATGAAAGAAACGAAATACACCTTCGTGCCAGGAGCAAATGTGGGAGCTATATTAATAACAAAAATACAAAATGCTATGAGCAAATATTTAAATTAATTCAAAATCATTAAAAAAAAGTTAAAACATATAAACTACAAAAAAAAAATACATAACATACAAATCAACTAATCTGCATCTATTACTAGCAGATCCCCTTTTAAAATAGCTTAGTGTGACAAAACATATAACGCAGAAAAGAGAAACTATTTTAATTTTTTAGTTTGAATTGTCAAATGAACAAAGCAATTAAAGTAAAAACGAAAGAAGACAATTTAAGTCTTATACTAAAGCACACTTTCGCAGGACAACAATTTCAAATCACTAGATCAATAGTATGGATGGTCACCAAATTAAACAATATAATATTACACGTAAGATTAAAAAAGAAAAAAAGAATACATACCAGGAATTACTGTGCCAACAAACAAAACTTGAAATGATGCACCAAACATAGAACTAGGCTTGATTTCAACACTTCTTTCACCATTAATGCTTAGTTCCCTAGAGCTTTTTGAGTCAATTGCTGTGACAGCAATAGGATTGTCGTTGCTAGGTTGTTCACTGACAACAAAAGTAGTACCAGTTTTAATTGGTATTTCCCCTGATGATCCAGGAAGTTCGGTAGACACAACAATATCATCTCCATGATTATTTACAATCAAAAAAACAACGTAAAATTTCTTCTCGCCTGATAGAAAAAAAAGGAAACACGAGAAAATTATGCAAGGAACCATATGTAACGAAAATTACTAGTAAATGATTACAACCTACCCGGTTTCACTAATATTTGGTAAATATAATCCTTCGAAACAGTCGGGTGTATAACAACATAATTATTCTCATCTATAATAACAGGAATGCCATCACGACGATCAAACACTCTAAGAATAAACGGCACATCGGAAAAACTTGTTTTGTTCACTTCAAACTGTGATCCTTCCTCAACAACGAAATCATCAAAAATTTCAGAGTTCGTTCGTACATCAACATCATTACCATAATCATTTTGAACTTTTACGTTCACATAATGTAAAAGTGTTGAAGTACTTTTCTTGGGAGTACCAGTGGTGACAGTCGGTTCTTCAGTGCGTTCTGTAACAAACGGTGTTGAAGTACTTTTCTCGGGAGTACCAGTGGTGACAGTCGGTTCTTTAGTGCTTTCTGTAACAAACGGTGTTGAAGTACTTTTCTCGGGAGTACCAGTGGTGACAGTAGGTTCTTTAGTGCTTTCAGTAACAAACGGTGTTGAAGTATTTTTCTCGGAAGGAGCGTCAGTGCTTTCGTATGTTGTAGTATTTGTAGGTTCTGTTACCCCAGGACCAACAACTGGGGCTTTACTCTTTTCAGTGCTGGTGGTAGATGTTGGTTTGGTTTCTATGATAACTGTTGTACTTACGATCGCGCTCTTATTAAACTCGGGAACATAATAAATTAATGGAATACTTGAAGTTGTACTTGATATCAAAGCTGAAGCCGTTCCATTTATTGTGATTGTCTGGGAATTGTGAAACGCTGTGATGTAAAACTCTGAGTAAGTGTCACTCTCGTATACAATGTGGAACCGTTCGTTCTTATTTATGTCGAATAAACCGTACTGAGGATGAGTAGTTATAACCCTAATCTGTCCATGATGTTCGTTCACAATGGTAACATTGACAAAGTACTTCTCTAAAAATACACCAAAAATTAAACATTTAATGATAACTTAAATACAAAATGTTTAAGCAAATACAAAATCAATAAAAAACATAACTTTGTTTCGTAAACAATCGCATTAAAATTTGTAGAAAAACATTGGAATTTAATATCTATAATGGATCTATGTAGTACCTTTAACATCTGGAGTCCCAGTTGTTTTTGCAATCACTAAAAGAAAACAACATTAAATACAACAGTTTAATAAACTAAATTGGAAAATAACTAAAATCAAAAACCATGTATAGAAACTCCATCACAATTATATACCGTCTAAATGTAACCGCTATAGACATTGCAATCAAATCAACCAATAAACTCCATTTTTATTCTTACAATCAAACTCATATTAGTCATGAAACATCGCATGCATTAATCCCATAAAAGTTAAAAGTACCCTCAGACCAAATGAATAGCATTAGAAAAAACACACAATTTTACATAAAAAACATGATTCAATTCTTTTGATCAAGTCGTATCAAGCTAACTTCTTTCAAAAATCAAATATTTTACATCGCTCATTACATCACTCGTTTTACTCGTATCTAAACGTCTTGATGTTTCTGGATAAGCAAGATTTTCCACCGAAACAATGAACTTTTTACCTGATGTTGTTTTTATACTTGTTGGTTGCGGTTTAACCAATGCTAAAAAAAGAACAAAAAAATTACTAACAAAACTAACAAAATTTTTCTTTTTAAATTGACAACAATATCAACTATTAAGAAACATCGTTCTTCTATCAAAATCATATAAAAAAAAATTATGACAAGTCCAAATACCGGGATTTTCCTCTAGGGTTAAAACGGTGAAATTGCTCGAGTTTTCTTTTGGACGTAGATTGTACTTTATAACATCGTTGATTTTAATTGTTTTGCCAATCTCTGGCACAAATGCCTCGAACATAATAGGTTCTGCATTCGACACTTTCACTTCTAAACTAACTGTTTGACCATTAATGATAACCAGATCATTAAAAGGGTTCCGTAGGTTAGATTTAAGGTTAATGTTGTAACCATATGTGTTCGAAATGATGAAAGAAACGAAATACACCTTCGTGCCAGGAGCAAATGTGGGAGCTATATTAATAACAAAAATACAAAATGCCATGAACAAATATTTAAATTAATTCAAAATCATTAAAAAAAAGTTAAAACATATAAACTACAAAAAAAAATACATAACATACAAATTAACTAATCTGCATCTATTACTTGCAGATCCCCTTTTAAAATAGCTTAGTGTAACAAAACATATAACGCAGAGAAGAGCAACTATTTTAATTTTTTAGTTTGAATTGTCAAATGAACAAAGCAATTAAAGTAAAAACGAAAGAAGACAATTTAAGTCTTATACTAAAGCACACTTTCGCAGGACAACAATTTCAAATCATTAGATCAATAGTATGGATGGTCACCAAATTAAACAATAGAATATTACACGTAAGATAAAAAAAGAAAAAAGAATACATACCAGGAATTACTGTGCCAACAAACAAAACTTGAAATGATGCACCAAACATAGAACTAGGCTTGATTTCAACACTTCTTTCACCATTAATGCTTAGTTCCCTAGAGCTTTTTGAGTCAATTGCTGTTACAGCAATAGGATTGTCGTTGCTAGGTTGTTCACTGACAACAAAAGTAGTACCAGTTTTAATTGGTATTTCCCCTGATGATCCAGGAAGTTCGGTTGACACAACAATATCATCTCCGTGATTATTTACAATCAAGAAAACAACGTAAAATTTCTTCTCGCCTGATAGAAAAAAAAGGAAACACGAGAAAATTATGCAAGGAACCATATGTAACGAAAATTACTAGTAAATGATTACAACCTACCCGGTTTCACTAATATTTTGTAAATATAATCCTCCGAAACAGTCGGGTGTATAACAACATAATTATTCTCATCTATAATAACAGGAATGCCATCACGACGATCAAAGACTCTAAGAATAAAGGGCACATCGGAAAAACTTGTTCTGTTCACTTCAAACTGTGATCCTTCTTCAACAACAAAATCATCAAAAATTTCAGAGTTCGTTCGTACATCAACATCATTACCATAATCATTTTGAACTTTTACGTTTACATAATGTAAAAGTGTTGAAGTACTTTTCTTGGGAGTACCAGTGGTGACAGTCGGTTCTTCAGTGCTTTCTGTAACAAACTGTGTTGAAGTACTTTTCTCGGGAGTACCAGTGGTGACAGTCGGTTCTTCAGTGCTTTCTGTAACAAACGGTGTTGAAGTACTTTTCTCGGGAGTACCAGTGGTGACAGTCGGTTCTTTAGTGCTTTCAGTAACAAACGGTGTTGAAGTATTTTTCTCGGAAGGAGCGTCAGTGCTTTCGTATGTTGTAGTATTTGTAGGTTCTGTTACCCCAGGACCAACAACTGGGGCTTTACTCTTTTCAGTGCTGGTGGTAGATGTTGGTTTGGTTTCTATGATAACTGTTGTACTTACGATCGCGCTCTCATTAAACTCGGGAACATAATAAATTAATGGAATACTTGAAGTTGTACTTGATATCAAAGCTGAAGCCGTTCCATTTATTGTGATTGTCTGGGAATTGTGAAACGCTGTGATGTAAAACTCTGAGTAAGTGTCACTCTCGTATACAATGTGGAACCGTTCGTTCTTATTTATGTCGAATAAACCGTACTGAGGATGAGTAGTTATAACCCTAATCTGTCCATGATGTTCGTTCACAATGGTAACATTGACAAAGTACTTCTCTAAAATACACCAAAATTAAACATTTAATGATAACTTAAATACAAAATGTTTAAGCAAATATAAAATCAATAAAAAACATAACTTTGTTTCGTAAACAATCGCATTAAAATTTGTAGAAAAACATTGGAATTTAATATCTATAATGGATCTATGTAGTACCTTTAACATCTGGAGTCCCAGTTGTTTTTGCAATCACTAAAAGAAAACAACATTAAATACAACAGTTTAATAAACTAAATTGGAAAATAACTAAAATCAAAAACCATGTATAGAAACTCCATCACAATTATATACCGTCTAAATGTAACCGCTATAGACATTGCAATCAAATCAACCAATAAACTCCATTTTTATTCTTACAATCAAACTCATATTAGTCATGAAACATCGCATGCATTAATCCCATAAAAGTTAAAAGTACCCTCAGACCAAATGAATAGCATTAGAAAAAAACTCACAATTTTACATAAAAAACATGATTCAATTCTTTTCATCAAGACGTATCAAGCTAACTTCTTTCAAAAATCAAATATTTTACATCGCTCGTTACATCACTCGTTTTACTCGTATCTAAACGTCTTGATGTTTCTGGATAAGCAAGATTTTGCACCGAAACAATGAACTTTTTACCTGGTGTTGTTTTTATACTTGTTGGTTGCGGTTTAACCAATGCTAAAAAAAGAACAAAAAAATTACTAACACAACTAACAAAATTTTTCTTTTTAAATTGACAACAATATCAACTATAAAGAAACATCGTTCTTCCATCAAAATCATATAAAAAAAAATTATGACAAGTCCAAATACCGGGATTTTCCTCTAGGGTTAAAACGGTGAAATTGCCCGAGTTTTCTTTTGGACGTAGATTGTACTTTATGACACCGTTGATTTTAATTGTTTCGCCAATCTCTGGCACAAATGCCTCGAACATAATAGGTTCTGCATTCGACACTTTCACTTCTAAACTAACTGTTTGACCATTAATGATAACCAGATCATTAAAAGGGTTCCGTAGGTTAGATTTAAGGTTAATGTTGTAACCATATGTGTTCGAAATGATGAAAGAAACGAAATACACCTTCGTGCCAGGAGCAAATGTGGGAGCTATATTAATAACAAAAATACAAAATGCCATGAGCAAATATTTAAATTAATTCAAAATCATTAAAAAAAAGTTAAAACTTATAAACTACAAAAAAAAATATACATAACATACAAATCAACTAATCTGCATCTATTACTTGCAGATCCCCTTTTAAAATAGCTTAGTGTGACAAAACATATAACGCAGAGAAGAGCAACTATTTTAATTTTTTAGTTTGAATTGTCAAATGAATTGTCAAATGTCCACACTTTCGCAGGACAACAACTTCAAATCACTAGATCAATAGTATGGATGGTCAACAAATTAAACAATATAATATTACACGTAAGATTAAAAAAGAAAAAAAGAATACATACCAGGAATTACTGTGCCAACAAACAAAACTTGAAATGATGCACCAAACATAGAACTAGGCTTGATTTCAACACTTCTTTCACCATTAATGCTTAGTTCCCTAGAGCTTTTTGAGTCAATTGCTGTTACAGCAATAGGATTGTCGTTGCTAGGTTGTTCACTGACAACAAAAGTAGTACCAGTTTTAATTGGTATTTCCCCTGATGATCCAGGAAGTTCGGTAGACACAACAATATCATCTCCGTGATTATTTACAATCAAAAAAACAACGTAAAATTTCTTCTCGCCTGATAGAAAAAAAAAGAAAACACGAGAAAATTATGCAAGGAGCCATATGTAACGAAAATTACTAGTAAATGATTAAAACCTACCCGGTTTCACCAATATTTTGTAAATATAATCCTTCGAAACAGTCGGGTGTATAACAACATAATTATTCTCATCTATAATAACAGGAATGCCATCACGACGATCAAAGACTCTAAGAATAAAAGGCAAATCGGAAAAACTTGTTCTGTTCACTTCAAACTGTGATCCTTCTTCAACAACAAAATCATCAAAAATTTCAGAGTTCGTTCGTACATCAACATCATTACCATAATCATTTTGAACTTTTACGTTTACATAATGTAAAAGTGTTGAAGTACTTTTCTTGGGAGTACCAGTGGTGACAGTCGGTTCTTCAGTGCTTTCTGTAACAAACGGTGTTGAAGTACTTTTCACCGGAGTACCAGTGGTGACAGTCGGTTCTTCAGTGCTTTCTGTAACAAATGGTGTTGAAGTACTTTTCACCGGAGTACCAGTGGTGACAGTCGGTTCTTCAGTGCTTTCTGTAACAAACGGTGTTGAAGTACTTTTCACCGGAGTACCAGTGGTGACAGTCGGTTCTTCAGTGCTTTCTGTAACAAACGGTGTTGAAGTACTTTTCTCGAGAGTACCAGTGGTGACAGTCGGTTCTTCAGTGCTTTCTGTAACAAATGGTGTTGAAGTACTTTTCTCGGGTGTACCAGTAGTGACAGTCGGTTCTTCAGTGCTTTCTGTAACAAACGGTGTTGAAGTACTTTTCACGGGAGTACCAGTGGTGACAGTCGATTCTTCAGTGCTTTCTGTAACAAACGGTGTTGAAGTACTTTTCACGGGAGTACCAGTGGTGACAGTCGGTACTTTAGTGCTTTCTGTAACAAACGGTGTTGAAGTACTTTTCTCGAGAGTACCAGTGGTGACAGTCGGTTCTTCGGTGCTTTCTGTAACAGACGGTGTTGAAGTACTTTTCACGGGAGTACCAGTGGTGACAGTAGGTTCTTTAGTGCTTTCAGTAACAAACGGTGTTGAAGTATTTTTCTCGGAAGGAGCGTCAGTGCTTTCGAATGTTGTAGTATTTGTAGGTTCTGTTACCCCAGGACCAACAACTGGGGCTTTACTCTTTTCAGTGCTGGTGGTAGATGTTGGTTTGGTTTCTATGATAACTGTTGTACTTACGATCGCGCTCTTATTAAACTCGGGAACATAATAAATTAATGGAATACTTGAAGTTGTACTTGATATCAAAGCTGAAGCCGTTCCATTTATTGTGATTGTCTGGAAATTGTGAAACGCTGTGATGTAAAACTCTGAGTAAGTGTCACTCTCGTATACAATGTGGAACCGTTCGTTCTTATTCATGTCGAATAAACCGTACTGAGGATGAGTAGTTATAACCCTAATCTGTCCATGATGTTCGTTCACAATGGTAACATTGACAAAGTACTTCTCTAAAAATACACCAAAAATTAAACATTTAATGATAACTTAAATACAAAATGTTTAAGCAAATATAAAATCAATAAAAAACATAACTTTGTTTCGTAAACAATCGCATTAAAATTTGTAGAAAAACATTGGAATTTAATATCTATAATGGATCTATGTAGTACCTTTAACATCTGGAGTCCCAGTTGTTTTTGCAATCACTAAAAGAAAACAACATTAAATACAACAGTTTAATAAACTAAATTGGAAAATAACTAAAATCAAAAACCATGTATAGAAACTCCATCACAATTATATACCGTCTAAATGTAACCGCTATAGACATCGCAATCAAATCAACCAATAAACTCCATTTTTATTCTTACAATCAAACTCATATTAGTCATGAAACGTCGCATGCATTAATCCCATAAAAGTTAAAAGTACCCTCAGACCAAATGAATAGCATTAGAAAAAAACTCACAATTTTACATAAAAAACATGATTCAATTCTTTTCATCAAGACGTATCAAGCTAACTTCTTTCAAAAATCAAATATTTTACATCGCTCATTACATCACTCATTTTACTCGTATCTAAACGTCTTGATGTTTCTGGATAAGCAAGATTTTGCACCGAAACAATGAACTTTTTACCTGGTGTTGTTTTTATACTTGTTGGTTGCGGTTTAACCAATGCTAAAAAAAGAACAAAAAAATTACTAACACAACTAACAAAATTTTTCTTTTTAAATTGACAACAATATCAACTATAAAGAAACATCGTTCTTCCATCAAAATCATATAAAAAAAAATTATGACAAGTCCAAATACCGGGATTTTCCTCTAGGGTTAAAACGGTGAAATTGCCCGAGTTTTCTTTTGGACGTAGATTGTACTTTATGACACCGTTGATTTTAATTGTTTCGCCAATCTCTGGCACAAATGCCTCGAACATAATAGGTTCTGCATTCGACACTTTCACTTCTAAACTAACTGTTTGACCATTAATGATAACCAGATCATTAAAAGGGTTCCGTAGGTTAGATTTAAGGTTAATGTTGTAACCATATGTGTTCGAAATGATGAAAGAAACGAAATACACCTTCGTGCCAGGAGCAAATGTGGGAGCTATATTAATAACAAAAATACAAAATGCCATGAGCAAATATTTAAATTAATTCAAAATCATTAAAAAAAGTTAAAACTCTATAAACTACACAAAACATATAGCAACCAAATGAACAAAACATCAACTTCAAATCACTAGATCAATAGTATGGATGGTCAACAAATTAAACAATATAATATTACACGTAAGATTAAAAAGAAAAAAGAATACATACCAGGAATTACTGTGCCAACAAACAAAACTTGAAATGATGCACCAAACATAGAACTAGGCTTGATTTCAACACTTCTTTCACCATTAATGCTTAGTTCCTAGAGCTTTTGAGTCAATTGCTGTTACAGCAATAGGATTGTCGTTGCTAGGTTGTTCACTGACAACAAAAGTAGTACCAGTTTTAATTGGTATTTCCCCTGATGATCCAGGAAGTTCGGTAGACACAACAATATCATCTCCGTGATTATTTACAATCAAAAAAACAACGTAAAATTTCTTCTCGCCTGATAGAAAAAAAAAGAAAACACGAGAAAATTATGCAAGGAGCCATATGTAACGAAAATTACTAGTAAATGATTAAAACCTACCCGGTTTCACTAATATTTTGTAAATATAATCCTTCGAAACAGTCGGGTGTATAACAACATAATTATTCTCATCTATAATAACAGGAATGCCATCACGACGATCAAAGACTCTAAGAATAAAGGGCACATCGGAAAAACTTGTTCTGTTCACTTCAAACTGTGATCCTTCTTCAACAACAAAATCATCAAAAATTTCAGAGTTCGTTCGTACATCAACATCATTACCATAATCATTTTGAACTTTTACGTTAACATAATGTAAAAGTGTTGAAGTACTTTTCTTGGGAGTACCAGTGGTGACAGTCGGTTCTTCAGTGCTTTCTTTAACAAACGGTGTTGAAGTACTTTTCTCGGGAGTACCAGTGGTGACAGTCGGTTCTTTAGTGCTTTCTGTAACAAACGGTGTTGAAGTACTTTTCACCGGAGTACCAGTGGTGACAGTCGGTTCTTCAGTGCTTTCTGTAACAAACGGTGTTGAAGTACTTTTCTCGAGTACCAGTGGTGACAGTCGGTTCTTCAGTGCTTTCTGTAACAAATGGTGTTGAAGTACTTTCTCAGGAGTACCAGTAGTGACAGTCGGTTCTTTTCTGTAACAAACGGTGTTGAAGTACTTTTCACGGGAGTACCAGTGGTGACAGTCGGTTCTTCAGTGCTTTCTGTAAAAAACGGTGTTGAAGTACTTTTCACGGGAGTACCAGTTGTGACAGTCGGCTGTAACAAACGGTGTTGAAGTACTTTTCTCGAGAGTACCAGTGGTGACAGTCGGTTCTTCAGTGCTTTCTGTAACAAATGGTGTTGAAGTACTTTTCTCAGGAGTACCAGTAGTGACAGTAGGTTCTTCGGTGCTTTCTGTAACAGACGGTATTGAAGTACTTTTCACGGGAGTACCAGTGGTGACAGTAGGTTCTTCAGTGCTTTCTACAACAAACGGTGTTGAAGTACTTTCCACCGGAGTACCAGTGGTGACAGTCGGTTCTTCAGTGCTTTCTGTAACAAACGGTGTTGAAGTACTTTTCACGGGGTACCAGTGGTGACAGTCGGTTCTTCAGTGCTTTCTGTAACAAACGGTGTTGAAATACTTTTCTCGGGAATACCAGTGGTGACAGTCGGTTCTTCAGTGCTTTCTGTAACAAACGGTGTTGATGTACTTTTTTCGGGAGTACCAGTGGTGAAAGTCGGTTCTTTAGTGCTTTCTGTAACAAACGGTGTTGAAGTACTTTTCTCGGGAGTACCAGTGGTGACAGTCGGTTCTTCAGTGCTTTCTGTAACAAACGGTGTTGAAGTACTTTCTCGGAGTACCAGTGGTGACAGTCGGTTCTTCAGTGCTTTCTGTAACAAATGGTGTTGACGTACTTTTCTCGGTAGTACCAGTGGTGACAGTCGGTTCTTCAAGGCTTTCTACAACAAACGGTGTTGAAGTACTTTCCACCGGAGTACCAGTGGTGACAGTCGGTTCTTCAGTGCTTTCTGTAACAAACGGTGTTGAAGTACTTTTCACGGGGTACCAGTGGTGACAGTCGGTTCTTCAGTGCTTTCTGTAACAAACGGTGTTGAAATACTTTTCTCGGGAATACCAGTGGTGACAGTCGGTTCTTCAGTGCTTTCTGTAACAAACGGTGTTGATGTACTTTTTTCGGGAGTACCAGTGGTGAAAGTCGGTTCTTTAGTGCTTTCTGTAACAAACGGTGTTGAAGTACTTTTCTCAGGAGTACCAGTGGTGACAGTCGGTTCTTCAGTGCTTTCTGTAACAAACGGTGTTGAAGTACTTTTCACGGGAGTACCAGTGGTGACAGTCGGTTCTTCAGTGCTTTCTGTAACAAACGGTGTTGAAGTACTTTTCACGGGAGTACCAGTGGTGACAGTCGGTTCTTCAGTGCTTTCTGTAACAAACGGTGTTGAAGTACTTTTCTCAGGAGTACCAGTGGTGATAGTCGGTTCTTCAGTGCTTTCTGTAACAAACGGTGTTGAAGTACTTTTCTCGGGAGTACCAGTGGTGACAGTCGGTTCTTTAGTGCTTTCTGTAACAAACGGTGTTGAAGTACTTTTCTCGGGGTACCAGTGGTGACAGTAGGTTCTTTAGTGCTTTCAGTAACAAACGGTGTTGAAGTATTTTCTCGGAAGGAGCGTCAGTGCTTTCGAATGTTGTAGTATTTGTAGGTTCTGTTACCCCAGGACCAACAACTGGGGCTTTACTCTTTCAGTGCTGGTGGTAGATGTTGGTTTGGTTTCTATGATAACTGTTGTACTTACGATCGCGCTCTCATTAAACTCGGGAACATAATAAATTAATGGAATACTTGAAGTTGTACTTGATATCAAAGCTGAAGCCGTTCCATTTATTGTGATTGTCTGGAAATTATGAAACGCTGTGATGTAAAACTCTGAGTAAGTGTCACTCTCGTATACAATGTGGAACCGTTCGTTCTTATTCATGTCGAATAAACCGTACTGAGGATGAGTAGTTATAACCCTAATCTGTCCATGATGTTCGTTCACAATGGTAACATTGACAAAGTACTTCTCTAAAAATACACCAAAATTAAACATTTAATGATAACTTAAATACAAAATGTTTAAGCAAATATAAAATCAATAAAAAACATAACTTTGTTTCGTAAACAATCGTATTAAAATTTGTAGAAAAACATTGGAATTTAATATCTATAATGGATCTATGTAGTACCTTTAACATCTGGAGTCCCAGTTGTTTTTGCAATCACTAAAAGAAAACAACATTAAATACAACAGTTTAATAAACTAAATTGGAAAATAACTAAAATCAAAAACCATGTATAGAAACTCCATCACAATTATATACCGTCTAAATGTAACCGCTATAGACATCGCAATCAAATCAACCAATAAACTCCATTTTTATTCTTACAATCAAACTCATATTAGTCATGAAACGTCGCATGCATTAATCCCATAAAAGTTAAAAGTACCCTCAGACCAAATGAATAGCATTAGAAAAAAACTCACAATTTTACATAAAAAACATAATTCAATTCTTTTCATCAAGTCGTATCAAGCGAACTTCTTTCAAAAATCAAATATTTTACATCGCTCATCACATCACTCGTTTTACTCGTATCTAAACGTCTTGATGTTTCTCGAAAAGCAAGATTTTGCACCGAAACAATGGACTTTTTACCTGGTGTTGTTTTTATACTTGTTGGTTGCGGTTTAAACAATGCTAAAAAAAGAACAAAAAAATTACTAACACAACTAACAAAATTTTTCTTTTTAAATTGACAACAATATCAACTATAAACAAACATCGTTCTTCTATCAAAATCATATAAAAAAAATTATGAGAAGTCCAAATACCGGGATTTTCCTCTAGGTTTAAAATGGTGAAATTGCCCGAGTTTTCTTTTGGAGGTAGATTGTACTTTATGACACCGTTGATTTTAATTGTTTCGCCAATCTCTGGGACAAATGCCTCGAACATAATAGGTTCTGCATTCGACACTTTCACTTCTAAACTAACTGTTTGACCATTAATGATAACCAGATCATTAAAAGGGTTCCTTAGGTTAGATTTAAGGTTAATGTTGTAACCATATGTGTTCGAAATGATGAAAGAAACGAAATACACCTTCGTGCCAGGAGCAAATGTGGGAGCTATATTTATAACAAAAATACAAAATGCCTTGAGCAAATATTTAAATTAATTCAAAATCATGAAAAAAAAGTTAAAACATATAAACTACAAAAAAATTCCAAAACATACAAATCAACTAATCTGAAACTATTACTTGCAGATCCTCTTTTAAAAAACCTTAGTGTGACAAAACAAAAAAGGCAGAGGAGAGCAACTATTTTAACTTTTTAGTTTGAATTGTCAAATGAACAAAGCAGTTAAAGTAAAAACAAAAGAAGACAACTTAAGTCTTATACTAAAACACACTTTCGCAGGACAACAATTTCAAATCACTAGATCAATAGTATGGATGGTCAACAAATTAAACCATATAATATTACACGTAAGATAAAAAAAGAAAAAAAGAATACATACCAGGAATTACTGTGCCAACAAACAAAACTTGAAATGATGCACCAAACATAGAACTAGGCTTGATTTCAACACTTCTTTCACCATTAATGTTTAGTTCCCTAGAGCTCTTTGAGTCAATTGCTGTTACAGCAATAGGATTGTCGTTGCTAGGTTGTTCACTGACAACAAAAGTAGTACCAGTTTTAATTGGTATTTCCCCTGATGATCCAGGAAGTTCGGTAGACACCACAATATCATCTCCGTGATTATTTACAATCAAGAAAACAACGTAAAATTTCTTCTCGCCTGATAGAAAAAAAAAGGAAACACGAGAAAATTATGCTAGGAACCATATGTAACAAAAAATACTAGTAAATGATTACAACCTACCCGGTTTCACTAATATTTTGTAAATATAATCCTTCGAAACAGTCGGGTGTATAACAACATAATTATTGTCATCTATCATAACAGGAATGCCATCACGACGATCAAAGACTCTAAGAATAAAGGGCACATCGGAAAAACTTGTTCTGTTCACTTCAAACTGTGATCCTTCTTCAACAACAAAATCATCAAAAATTTCAGAGTTCGTTCGTACATCAACATCATTACCATAATCATTTTGAACTTTTACGTTCACATAATGTAAAAGTGTTGAAGTACTTTTCTTGGGAGTACCAGTGGTGACAGTCGGTTCTTCAGTGCTTTCTGTAACAAACGGTGTTGAAGTACTTTTCACCGGAGTACCAGTGGTGACAGTCTGTTCTTCAGTGCTTTCTGTAACAAATGGTGTTGAAGTACTTTTCTCGGGAGTACCAGTAGTGACAGTCGGTTCTTTAGTGCTTTCCATAACAAACGGTGTTGAAGTACTTTTCTCGGGAGTACCAGTGGTGACAGTCGGTTCTTCAGTGCTTTCTGTAACAAACGGTGTTGATGTACTTTTCTCGGGAGTACCAGTGGTGACAGTCGGTTCTTCAGTGCTTTCTGTAACAAACGGTGTTGAAGTACTTTTTTCGGGAGTACCAGTAGTGACAGTCGGTTCTTCAGTGCTTTCTGTAACAAACGGTGTTGATGTACTTTTTTCGGGAGTACCAGTGGTGACAGTCGGTTCTTCAGTGCTTTCTGTAACAAACGGTGTTGATGTACTTTTCGGGAGTACCAGTGGTGACAGTCGGTTCTTCAGTGCTTTCTGTAACAAACAGTGTTGAAGTACTTTTCTCGGGAGTACCAGTGGTGACAGTCGGTTTTTCAGTGCTTTTCGTAACAAACGGTGTTGAAGTACTTTTCTCGGGAGTACCAGTGGTGACAGTCGGTTTTTCGGTGCTTTTCGTAACAAACGGTGTTGAAGTACTTTTCACCGGAGTACCAGTGGTGACAGTCGGTTCTTCAGTGCTTTCTGTAACAAACGGTGTTGAAGAACTTTTCACGGGAGTACCAGTGGTGACAGTCGGTTCTTCAGTGCTTTCTGTAACAAACGGTGTTGAAGTACTTTTCTCGGGAGTACCAGTGGTGATAGTCGGTTCTTCAGTTCTTTCTGTAACAAACGGTGTTGAAGTACTTTTCTCGGGAGTACCAGTGGTGACAGTCGGTTGTTTAGTGCTTTCTGTAACAAACGGTGTTGAAGTACTTTTCTCGGGAGTACCAGTGGTGACAGTAGGTTCTTTAGTGCTTTCAGTAACAAACGGTGTTGAAGTATTTTTCTCGGAAGGAGCGTCAGTGCTTTCGAATGTTGTAGTATTTGTAGGTTCTGTTACCCCAGGACCAACAACTGGGGCTTTACTCTTTTCAGTGCTGGTGGTAGATGTTGGTTTGGTTTCTATGATAACTGTTGTACTTACGATCGCGCTCTCATTAAACTCGGGAACATAATAAATTAATGGAATACTTGAAGTTGTACTTGATATCAAAGCTGAAGCCGTTCCATTTATTGTGATTGTCTGGAAATTATGAAACGCTGTGATGTAAAACTCTGAGTAAGTGTCACTCTCGTATACAATGTGGAACCGTTCGTTCTTATTCATGTCGAATAAACCGTACTGAGGATGAGTAGTTATAACCCTAATCTGTCCATGATGTTCGTTCACAATGGTAACATTGACAAAGTACTTCTCTAAAAATACACCAAAAATTAAACATTTAATGATAACTTAAATACAAAATGTTTAAGCAAATATAAAATCAATAAAAAACATAACTTTGTTTCGTAAACAATCGCATTAAAATTTGTAGAAAAACATTGGAATTTAATATCTATAATGGATCTATGCAGTACCTTTAACATCTGGAGTCCCAGTTGTTTTTGCAATCACTAAAAGAAAACAACATTAAATACAACAGTTTAATAAACTAAATTGGAAAATAACTAAAATCAAAAACCATGTATAGAAACTCCATCACAATTATATACCGTCTAAATGTAACCAATATAGACATCGCAATCAAATCAACCAATAAACTCCATTTTTATTCTTACAATCAAACTCATATTAGTCATGAAACGTCGCATGCATTAATCCCATAAAAGTTAAAAGTACCCTCAGACCAAATGAATAGCATTAGAAAAAAACTCACAATTTTACATAAAAAACATAATTCAATTCTTTTGATCAAGTCGTATCAAGCTAACTTCTTTCAAAAATCAAATATTTTACATCGCTCATCACATCACTCGTTTTACTCGTATCTAAACGTCTTGAGGTTTCTCGAAAAGCAAGATTTTGCGACGAAACAATGGACTTTTTACCTGGTGTTGTTTTTAAACTTGTTGGTTGGGGTTTAAACAATGCTAAAAAAAGAACAAAAAAATTACTAACACAACTAACAAAATTTTTCTTTTTAAATTGACAACAATATCAACTATAAAGAAACATCGTTCTTCTATCAAAATCATATAAAAAAAATTATGAGAAGTCCAAATACCGGGATTTTCCTCTAGGCTTAAAATGGTGAAATTGCCCGAGTTTTCTTTTGGACGTAGATTGTACTTTATGACACCGTTGATTTTAATTGTTTCGCCAATCTCTGGGACAAATGCCTCGAACATAATAGGTTCTGCATTCGACACTTTCACTTCTAAACTAACTGTTTGACCATTAATGATAACCAGATCATTAAAAGGGTTCCTTAGGTTAGATTTAAGGTTAATGTTGTAACCATATGTGTTCGAAATGATGAAAGAAACGAAATACACCTTCGTGCCAGGAGCAAATGTGGGAGCTATATTTATAACAAAAATACAAAATGCCTTGAGCAAATATTTAAATTAATTCAAAATCATGAAAAAAAAGTTAAAACATATAAACTACAAAAAAATTCCAAAACATACAAATCAACTAATCTGAAACTATTACTTGCAGATCCTCTTTAAAAACTTAGTGTGACAAAACAAAAAAGGCAGAGGAGAGCAACTATTTTAACTTTTTAGTTTGAATTGTCAAATGAACAAAGCAGTTAAAGTAAAAACAAAAGAAGACAACTTAAGTCTTATACTAAAACACACTTTCGCAGGACAACAATTTCAAATCACTAGATCAATAGTATGGATGGTCAACAAATTAAACAATATAATATTACACGTAAGATAAAAAAAGAAAAAAAGAATACATACCAGGAATTACTGTGCCAACAAACAAAACTTGAAATGATGCACCAAACATAGAACTAGGCTTGATTTCAACACTTCTTTCACCATTAATGTTTAGTTCCCTAGAGCTCTTTGAGTCAATTGCTGTTACAGCAATAGGATTGTCGTTGCTAGGTTGTTCACTGACAACAAAAGTAGTACCAGTTTTAATTGGTATTTCCCCTGATGATCCAGGAAGTTCGGTAGACACCACAATATCATCTCCGTGATTATTTACAATCAAGAAAACAACGTAAAATTTCTTCTCGCCTGATAGAAAAAAAAAGGAAACACGAGAAAATTATGCAAGGAACCATATGTAACGAAAAATACTAGTAAATGATTACAACCTACCCGGTTTCACTAATATTTTGTAAATATAATCCTTCGAAACAGTCGGGTGTATAACAACATAATTATTCTCATCTATAATAACAGGAATGCCATCACGACGATCAAAGACTCTAAGAATAAAGGGCACATCGGAAAAACTTGTTCTGTTCACTTCAAACTGTGATCCTTCTTCAACAACAAAATCATCAAAAATTTCAGAGTTCGTTCGTACATCAACATCATTACCATAATCATTTTGAACTTTTACGTTCACATAATGTAAAAGTGTTGAAGTACTTTTCTTGGGAGTACCAGTGGTGACAGTCGGTTCTTCAGTGCTTTCTGTAACAAACGGTGTTGAAGTACTTTTCACCGGAGTACCAGTGGTAACAGTCTGTTCTTCAGTGCTTTCTGTAACAAATGGTGTTGAAGTACTTTTCTCGGGAGTACCAGTAGTGACAGTCGGTTCTTTAGTGCTTTCTATAACAAACGGTGTTGAAGTACTTTTCTCGGGAGTACCAGTGGTGACAGTCGGTTCTTCAGTGCTTTCTATAACAAACGGTGTTGAAGTACTTTTCTCGGGAGTACCAGTAGTGACAGTCGGTTCTTCAGTGCCTGTAACAAACGGTGTTGAAGTACTTTTCACGGAGTACCAGTGGTGACAGTTCAGTGCTTTCTGTAACAAACGGTGTTGAAGTGTACCAGTGGTGACGGTCGATTCTTCAGTTTAACAAACGGTGTTGAAGTACTTTTCTCGAGAGTACCAGTGGTGAAAGTCGGTTCTTCAGTGCTTTCTGTAACAAATGGTGTTGAAGTACTTTTCTCGGTAGTACCAGTGGTGACAGTCGGTTCTTCAGTGCTTTCTATAACAAACGGTGTTGAAGTACTTTTCACCGGAGTACCAGTGGTGACAGTCGGTTCTTCAGTGCTTTCTGTAACAAACGGTGTTGAAGTACTTTTCACGGGAGTACCAGTGGTGACAGTCGGTTCTTCAGTGCTTTCTGTAACAAACAGTGTTGAAGTAGTAGTTGACAGAAGAACGGTGTTACTTTTCTCGGGAGTACCAGTGGTGACAGTCGGTTCTTCAGTGCTTTCTGTAACAAACGGTGTTGAAGTACTTTTCTCACCGTGAGTCGGTTCTTCAGTGCTTTCTGTAACAAAGTGGTACTTTTCTCAGGAGTACCAGTGGTGACAGTCGGTTCTTCAGTGCTTTCTGTAACAAACGGTGTTGAACAGGAGCGTCAGTGTTGAAGTACTTCTTCAGGACCGGAGTACCAGTGGTGACAGTCGGTTCTTCAGTGCTTTCTATAACAAACGGTGTTGAAGTACAAGACAGTGTTGAATGTTGTAGTAGTTCTTCAGGACCAATTGTGGAGTACCAGTGGTGACAGTCGGTTCTTCAGTAACGGTGTTGAAGTACTTATCTCGAGTACCAGTGGTGACAGTCGGTTCTTCATGTAACAAACGGTGTTGAAGTACTTATCTCAGGAGTACCAGTGGTGACAGTCGGTTCTTCAGTGCTTTCTGTAACAAACGGTGTTGAAGTACTTTTCTCGGAGTACCAGTGACAGTCGGTTCTTCAGTGCTTTCGAATGTTGTAGCTTTGTAGTTTCTTCTACATCAGGTGGTGTACCAGTGGTGACAAGTTCTTCAGTGCTTTCTGTAACAAACGGTGTTGAAGTACTTATCTCAGGAGTACCAGTGGTGACAGTCGGTTCTTCAGTGCTTTCTGTAACAAACGGTGTTGAAGTACTTATCTCGGAGTACCAGTGGTGACAGTCGTTCTTCAGTGCTTTCTGTAACAAACGGTGTTGTCTGTCAGTGCTTTCTGTTGTAGTTGTAGTTTCTTCATCAGGACCAATTGTGGTACTTTCATCAACAACATTGGAGTACCAGTGGTGACAGTCGGTTCTTCAGTGCTTTCTGTAACAAACGGTGTTGAAGTACTTTTCTCGGGAAGAGCGTCAGTGCTTTCGAATGTTGTAGCTTTGTAGTTTCTTCTACATCAGGACCAATTGTGGTACTTTCATCAACATCTGGAGTACCAGTGGTGACAGTCGGTTCTTCAGTGCTTTCTGTAACAAACGGTGTTGAAGTACTTTTCTCGGGAAGAGCGTCAGTGCTTTCGAATGTTGTAGCTTTGTAGTTTCTTCTACATCAGGACCAATTGTGGTACTTTCATCAACAACATCTGGAGTACCAGTGGTGACAGTCGGTTCTTCAGTGCTTCTGTAACAAACGGTGTTGAAGTACTTTTCTCGGGAAGAGCGTCAGTGCTTTCGAATGTTGTAGCTTTGTAGTTTCTTCTACATCAGGACCAATTGTGGTACTTTATCAACAACATCTGGATGAGTACCAGTGGTGACAGTCGGTTCTTCAGTGCTTTCTGTAACAAACGGTGTTGAAGTACTTTTCTCGGGAAGAGCGTCAGTGCTTTCGAATGTTGTAGCTTTGTAGTTTCTTCTACATCAGGACCAATTGTGGTACTTTCATCAACAACATCTGGAGTACCAGTGGTGACAGTCGGTTCTTCAGTGCTTTCTGTAACAAACGGTGTTGAAGTACTTTTCTCGGGAAGAGCGTCAGTGCTTTCGAATGTTGTAGCTTTTGTAGTTTCTTCTACATCAGGACCAATTGTGGTACTTTTATCAACAACGGGATGAGTACCAGTGGTGACAGTCGGTTCTTCAGTGCTTTCTGTAACAAACGGTGTTGAAGTACTTTTCTCGGGAAGAGCGTCAGTGCTTTCGAATGTTGTAGCTTTTGTAGTTTCTTCTACATCAGGACCAATTGTGGTACTTTCATCAACAACATCTGGAGTACTAGTAGTGACAGTCGGTTCTTCAGTGCGTTCTGTAACAAACGGTGTTGAAGTACTTTTCTCTGGAGTACCAGTGGTGACAGTCGGTTCTTCAGTGATTTCTGTAACAAACGGTGTTGAAGTACTTTTCTCGGGAGTACCAGTGGTGACAGTCGGTTCTTCAGTGCTTTCGAATGTTGTAGCTTTTGTAGTTTCTTGTACACCAGGACCAACAACTGGGGCTTTACTTATTTCAGTGCTTGTGGTAGATGTTGGTTTGGTTTCTATGATAACTGTTGTACTTACGATCGCACTCTCATTAAACTCGGGAACATAATAAATTAATGGAATACTTGAAGTTGTACTTGATATCAAAGCTGAAGCCGTTCCATTTATTGTGAGTGGCTGGAAATTGTGATACGCTGTGATGTAAAACTCTGAGTAAGTGTCACTCTCGTGTACAATGTGGAACCGTTCGTTAACATTAATGTCAAATAAACCGTACTGAGGATGAGTAGTTATAACCCTAATCGGTCCATGATGTACGTTCACAATGGTAACATTGACAAAGTACTTCTCTAAAAATACACCAAAAATTAAACATTAAATGATAACTTAAATACAAAAAGTTTAAATAGAAATAAAACAATAAAAAACATAACTTTGTTTCGTAACCAATCGCATTAAAATTTGTAGAAAAACATTGGAATTTGATGTCTAAAATAGATCTATTTTGTACCTTTAACATCTGGAGTCTTAGTTGTTTTTCCAATCACTATTGTTGTAGCTTTTGTAGTTTCTTTTACATCAGAACCAATTGTAGTACTTTCATCAACAACATCTGGAGTACCAGTGGTGACAGTCGGTTCTTCAGTGCTTTCTATAACAAACGGTGTTGAAGTACTTTTCTCGGGAAGAGCCTCCGTGCTTTCGAATGTTGTAGCTTTTGTAGTTTCTTCTACATCAGGACCAATTGTGGTACTTTCATCAACAACATCTGGAGTACCAGTGGTGACAGTCGGTTCTTCAGTGCTTTCTGTAACAAACGGTGTTGAAGTACTTATCTCGGGAGTACCAGTGGTGACAGTCGGTTCTTCAGTGCTTTCTGTAACAAACGGTGTTGAAGTACTTATCTCGGGAGTACCAGTGGTGACAGTCGGTTCTTCAGTGCTTTCTGTAACAAACGGTGTCGAAGTACTTTTCTCGGGAGTACCAGTGGTGACAGTCGGTTCTTCAGTGCTTTCGACTGTTGTAGCTTTTGTAGTTTCTTCTACATCAGGACCAATTGTGGTACTTTCATCAACAACGGTTGGAGTACCAGTGGTGACAGTCGGTTCTTCAGTGCTTTCTATAACAAACGGTGTTGAAGTACTTTTCTCGGGAAGAGCCTCAGTGCTTTCGAATGTTGTAGCTTTGTAGTTTCTTCTACATCAGGACCAATTGTGGTACTTTCATCAACAACATCTGGAGTACCAGTGGTGACAGTCGGTTCTTCAGTGCTTTCTGTAACAAACGGTGTTGAAGTACTTATCTCGGGAGTACCAGTGGTGACAGTCGGTTCTTCAGTGCTTTCTGTAACAAACGGTGTTGAAGTACTTATCTCGGGAGTACCAGTGGTGACAGTCGGTTCTTCAGTGCTTTCTGTAACAAACGGTGTCGAAGTACTTTTCTCGGGAGTACCAGTGGTGACAGTCGGTTCTTCAGTGCTTTCGAATGTTGTAGCTTTTGTAGTTTCTTCTACATCAGGACCAATTGTGGTACTTTCATCAACAACGGTTGGAGTACCAGTGGTGACAGTCGGTTCTTCAGTGCTTTCTATAACAAACGGTGTTGAAGTACTTTTCTCGGGAAGAGCCTCAGTGCTTTCGAATGTTGTAGCTTTGTAGTTTCTTCTACATCAGGACCAATTGTGGTACTTTCATCAACAACATCTGGAGTACCAGTGGTGACAGTCGGTTCTTCAGTGCTTTCTGTAACAAACGGTGTTGAAGTACTTATCTCGGGAGTACCAGTGGTGACAGTCGGTTCTTCAGTGCTTTCTGTAACAAACGGTGTTGAAGTACTTATCTCGGGAGTACCAGTGGTGACAGTCGGTTCTTCAGTGCTTTCTGTAACAAACGGTGTCGAAGTACTTTTCTCGGGAGTACCAGTGGTGACAGTCGGTTCTTCAGTGCTTTCGAATGTTGTAGCTTTTGTAGTTTCTTGTACACCAGGACCAACAACTGGGGCTTGACTTATTTCAGTGCTTGTGGTAGATGTTGGTTTGGTTTCTATGATAACTGTTGTACTTACGATCGCACTCTCATTAAACTCGGGAACATAATAAATTAATGGAATACTTGAAGTTGTACTTGATATCAAAGCTGAAGCCGTTCCATTTATTGTGAGTGGCTGGAAATTGTGATACGCTGTGATGTAAAACTCTGAGTAAGTGTCACTCTCGTGTACAATGTGGAACCGTTCGTTAACATTAATGTCAAATAAACCGTACTGAGGATGAGTAGTTATAACCCTAATCGGTCCATGATGTACGTTCACAATGGTAACATTGACAAAGTACTTCTCTAAAAATACACCAAAAATTAAACATTAAATGATAACTTAAATACAAAAAGTTTAAATAGAAATAAAACAATAAAAAACATAACTTTGTTTCGTAACCAATCGCATTAAAATTTGTAGAAAAACATTGGAATTTGATGTCTAAAATAGATCTATTTTGTACCTTTAACATCTGGAGTCTTAGTTGTTTTCCAATCACTATTGTTGTAGCTTTTGTAGTTTCTTTTACATCAGAACCAATTGTAGTACTTTCATCAACAACATCTGGAGTACCAGTGGTGACAGTCGGTTCTTCAGTGCTTTCTATAACAAACGGTGTTGAAGTACTTTTCTCGGGATGAGCCTCAGTGCTTTCGAATGTTGTAGCTTTGTAGTTTCTTCTACATCAGGACCAATTGTGGTACTTTCATCAACAACATCTGGAGTACCAGTGGTGACAGTCGGTTCTTCAGTGCTTTCTGTAACAAACGGTGTTGAAGTACTTTTCTCGGGAAGAGCGTCAGTGCTTTCGAATGTTGTAGCTTTTGTAGTTTCTTCTACATCAGGACCAATTGTGGTACTTTCATCAACAACATCTGGAGTACCAGTGGTGACAGTCGGTTCTTCAGTGCTTTCTGTAACAAACGGTGTTGAAGTGCTTTTCTCGGGAAGAGCGTCAGTGCTTTCGAATGTTGTAGCTTTTGTAGTTTCTTCTACATCAGGACCAATTGTGGTACTTTCATCAACAACATCTGGAGTACTAGTAGTGACAGTCGGTTCTTCAGTGCTTCCTGTAACAAACGGTGTTGAAGTACTTTTCTCGGGAAGAGCCTCAGTGCTTTCGAATGTTGTAGCTTTGTAGTTTCTTCTACATCAGGACCAATTGTGGTACTTTCATCAACAACATCTGGAGTACCAGTGGTGACAGTCGGTTCTTCAGTGCTTTCTGTAACAAACGGTGTTGAAGTACTTTTCTCGGGAAGAGCGTCAGTGCTTTCGAATGTTGTAGCTTTGTAGTTTCTTCTACATCAGGACCAATTGTGGTACTTTCATCAACAACATCTGAGTACTAGTAGTGACAGTCGGTTCTTCAGTGCTTTCTGTAACAAACGGTGTTGAAGTACTTTTCTCGGGAAGAGCGTCAGTGCTTTCGAATGTTGTAGCTTTGTAGTTTCTTCTACATCAGGACCAATTGTGGTACTTTCATCAACAACATCTGGAGTACTAGTAGTGACAGTCGGTTCTTCAGTGCTTCCTGTAACAAACGGTGTTGAAGTACTTTTCTCGGGAAGAGCCTCAGTGCTTTCGAATGTTGTAGCTTTTGTAGTTTCTTCTACATCAGGACCAATTGTGGTACTTTCATCAACAACATCTGGAGTACTAGTAGTGACAGTCGGTTCTTCAGTGCGTTCTGTAACAAACGGTGTTGAAGTACTTTTCTCTGGAGTACCAGTGGTGACAGTCGGTTCTTCAGTGATTTCTGTAACAAACGGTGTTGAAGTACTTTTCTCGGGAGTACCAGTGGTGACAGTCGGTTCTTCAGTGCTTTCGAATGTTGTAGCTTTTGTAGTTTCTTGTACACCAGGACCAACAACTGGGGCTTTACTTATTTCAGTGCTTGTGGTAGATGTTGGTTTGGTTTCTATGATAACTGTTGTACTTACGATCGCACTCTCATTAAACTCGGGAACATAATAAATTAATGGAATACTTGAAGTTGTACTTGATATCAAAGCTGAAGCCGTTCCATTTATTGTGAGTGGCTGGAAATTGTGATACGCTGTGATGTAAAACTCTGAGTAAGTGTCACTCGTGTACAATGTGGAACCGTTCGTTAACATTAATGTCAAATAAACCGTACTGAGGATGAGTAGTTATAACCCTAATCGGTCCATGATGTACGTTCACAATGGTAACATTGACAAAGTACTTCTCTAAAAATACACCAAAAATTAAACATTAAATGATAACTTAAATACAAAAAGTTTAAATAGAAATAAAACAATAAAAAACATAACTTTGTTTCGTAACCAATCGCATTAAAATTTGTAGAAAAACATTGGAATTTGATGTCTAAAATAGATCTATTTTGTACCTTTAACATCTGGAGTCTTAGTTGTTTTTCCAATCACTATTGTTGTAGCTTTTGTAGTTTCTTTTACATCAGAACCAATTGTAGTACTTTCATCAACAACATCTGGAGTACCAGTGGTGACAGTCGGTTCTTCAGTGCTTTCTATAACAAACGGTGTTGAAGTACTTTTCTCGGGAAGAGCCTCAGTGCTTTCGAATGTTGTAGCTTTTGTAGTTTCTTCTACATCAGGACCAATTGTGGTACTTTCATCAACAACATCTGGAGTACCAGTGGTGACAGTCGGTTCTTCAGTGCTTTCTGTAACAAACGGTGTTGAAGTACTTATCTCGGGAGTACCAGTGGTGACAGTCGGTTCTTCAGTGCTTTCTGTAACAAACGGTGTTGAAGTACTTATCTCGGGAGTACCAGTGGTGACAGTCGGTTCTTCAGTGCTTTCTGTAACAAACGGTGTCGAAGTACTTTTCTCGGGAGTACCAGTGGTGACAGTCGGTTCTTCAGTGCTTTCGAATGTTGTAGCTTTTGTAGTTTCTTCTACATCAGGACCAATTGTGGTACTTTCATCAACAACATCTGGAGTACCAGTGGTGACAGTCGGTTCTTCAGTGCTTTCTGTAACAAACGGTGTTGAAGTACTTATCTCGGGAGTACCAGTGGTGACAGTCGGTTCTTCAGTGCTTTCTGTAACAAACGGTGTTGAAGTACTTATCTCGGGAGTACCAGTGGTGACAGTCGGTTCTTCAGTGCTTTCTGTAACAAACGGTGTTGAAGTACTTTTCTCGGGAAGAGCGTCAGTGCTTTCGAATGTTGTGGCTTTTGTAGTTTCTTCTACATCAGGACCAATTGTGGTACTTTCATCAACAACGGTTGGAGTACCAGTGGTGACAGTCGGTTCTTCAGTGCTTTCTATAACAAACGGTGTTGAAGTACTTTTCTCGGGAAGAGCCTCAGTGCTTTCGAATGTTGTAGCTTTTGTAGTTTCTTCTACATCAGGACCAATTGTGGTACTTTCATCAACAACATCTGGAGTACCAGTGGTGACAGTCGGTTCTTCAGTGCTTTCTGTAACAAACGGTGTTGAAGTACTTTTCTCGGGAAGAGCGTCAGTGCTTTCGAATGTTGTAGCTTTGTAGTTTCTTCTACATCAGGACCAATTGTGGTACTTTCATCAACAACATCTGGAGTACTAGTAGTGACAGTCGGTTCTTCAGTGCTTCCTGTAACAAACGGTGTTGAAGTACTTTTCTCGGGAAGAGCCTCAGTGCTTTCGAATGTTGTAGCTTTTGTAGTTTCTTCTACATCAGGACCAATTGTGGTACTTTTATCAACAACGGGATGAGTACCAGTGGTGACAGTCGGTTCTTCAGTGCTTTCTGTAACAAACGGTGTTGAAGTACTTTTCTCGGGAAGAGCGTCAGTGCTTTCGAATGTTGTAGCTTTTGTAGTTTCTTCTACATCAGGACCAATTGTGGTACTTTCATCAACAACATCTGGAGTACCAGTGGTGACAGTCGGTTCTTCAGTGCTTTCTGTAACAAACGGTGTTGAAGTACTTTTCTCGGGAAGAGCGTCAGTGCTTTCGAATGTTGTAGCTTTTGTAGTTTCTTCTACATCAGGACCAATTGTGGTACTTTCATCAACAACATCTGGAGTACTAGTAGTGACAGTCGGTTCTTCAGTGCTTTCTGTAACAAACGGTGTTGAAGTACTTTTCTCGGGAAGAGCGTCAGTGCTTTCGAATGTTGTAGCTTTTGTAGTTTCTTCTACATCAGGACCAATTGTGGTACTTTCATCAACAACATCTGGAGTACTAGTAGTGACAGTCGGTTCTTCAGTGCGTTCTGTAACAAACGGTGTTGAAGTACTTTTCTCTGGAGTACCAGTGGTGACAGTCGGTTCTTCAGTGATTTCTGTAACAAACGGTGTTGAAGTACTTTTCTCAGGAGTACCAGTGGTGACAGTCGGTTCTTCAGTGCTTTCGAATGTTGTAGCTTTGTAGTTTCTTGTACACCAGGACCAACAACTGGGGCTTTACTTATTTCAGTGCTTGTGGTAGATGTTGGTTTGGTTTCTATGATAACTGTTGTACTTACGATCGCACTCTCATTAAACTCGGGAACATAATAAATTAATGGAATACTTGAAGTTGTACTTGATATCAAAGCTGAAGCCGTTCCATTTATTGTGAGTGGCTGGAAATTGTGATACGCTGTGATGTAAAACTCTGAGTAAGTGTCACTCTCGTGTACAATGTGGAACCGTTCGTTAACATTAATGTCAAATAAACCGTACTGAGGATGAGTAGTTATAACCCTAATCGGTCCATGATGTACGTTCACAATGGTAACATTGACAAAGTACTTCTCTAAAAATACACCAAAAATTAAACATTAAATGATAACTTAAATACAAAAAAAGTTTAAATAGAAATAAAACAATAAAAAACATAACTTTGTTTCGTAACCAATCGCATTAAAATTTGTAGAAAAACATTGGAATTTGATGTCTAAAATAGATCTATTTTGTACCTTTAACATCTGGAGTCTTAGTTGTTTTTCCAATCACTATTGTTGTAGCTTTTGTAGTTTCTTTTACATCAGAACCAATTGTAGTACTTTCATCAACAACATCTGGAGTACCAGTGGTGACAGTCGGTTCTTCAGTGCTTTCTATAACAAACGGTGTTGAAGTACTTTTCTCGGGAAGAGCCTCAGTGCTTTCGAATGTTGTAGCTTTGTAGTTTCTTCTACATCAGGACCAATTGTGGTACTTTCATCAACAACATCTGGAGTACCAGTGGTGACAGTCGGTTCTTCAGTGCTTTCTGTAACAAACGGTGTTGAAGTACTTATCTCGGGAGTACCAGTGGTGACAGTCGGTTCTTCAGTGCTTTCTGTAACAAACGGTGTTGAAGTACTTATCTCGGGAGTACCAGTGGTGACAGTCGGTTCTTCAGTGCTTTCTGTAACAAACGGTGTCGAAGTACTTTTCTCGGGAGTACCAGTGGTGACAGTCGGTTCTTCAGTGCTTTCGAATGTTGTAGCTTTTGTAGTTTCTTCTACATCAGGACCAATTGTGGTACTTTCATCAACAACGGTTGGAGTACCAGTGGTGACAGTCGGTTCTTCAGTGCTTTTTATAACAAACGGTGTTGAAGTACTTTTCTCGGGAAGAGCCTCAGTGCTTTCGAATGTTGTAGCTTTGTAGTTTCTTCTACATCAGGACCAATTGTGGTACTTTCATCAACAACATCTGGAGTACCAGTGGTGACAGTCGGTTCTTCAGTGCTTTCTGTAACAAACGGTGTTGAAGTACTTATCTCAGGAGTACCAGTGGTGACAGTCGGTTCTTCAGTGCTTTCTGTAACAAACGGTGTTGAAGTACTTATCTCAGGAGTACCAGTGGTGACAGTCGGTTCTTCAGTGCTTTCTGTAACAAACGGTGTCGAAGTACTTTTCTCGGGAGTACCAGTGGTGACAGTCGGTTCTTCAGTGCTTTCGACTGTTGTAGCTTTGTAGTTTCTTCTACATCAGGACCAATTGTGGTACTTTCATCAACAACGGTTGGAGTACCAGTGGTGACAGTCGGTTCTTCAGTGCTTTCTATAACAAACGGTGTTGAAGTACTTTTCTCGGGAAGAGCCTCAGTGCTTTCGAATGTTGTAGCTTTGTAGTTTCTTCTACATCAGGACCAATTGTGGTACTTTCATCAACAACATCTGGAGTACCAGTGGTGACAGTCGGTTCTTCAGTGCTTTCTGTAACAAACGGTGTTGAAGTACTTATCTCGGGAGTACCAGTGGTGACAGTCGGTTCTTCAGTGCTTTCTGTAACAAACGGTGTTGAAGTACTTATCTCGGGAGTACCAGTGGTGACAGTCGGTTCTTCAGTGCTTCCTGTAACAAACGGTGTTGAAGTACTTTTCTCGGGAAGAGCCTCAGTGCTTTCGAATGTTGTAGCTTTTGTAGTTTCTTCTACATCAGGACCAATTGTGGTACTTTTATCAAGAACGGGATGAGTACCAGTGGTGACAGTCGGTTCTTTAGTGCTTTCCGTAACAAACGGTGTTGAAGTACTTATCTCGGGAGTACCAGTGGTGACAGTCGGTTCTTCAGTGCTTTCTGTAACAAACGGTGTCGAAGTACTTTTCTCGGGAGTACCAGTGGTGACAGCCGGTTCTTCAGTGCTTTCCGTAACAAACGGTGTTGAAGTACTTTTCTCGGGAGTACCAGTGGTGACAGTCGGTTCTTCAGTGCTTTCCGTAACAAACGGTGTTGAAGTACTTATCTTGGGAAGAACATCAGTGCTTTCGAATGTTGTAGATTTTGTAGTTTCTTCTACCTCAGGGCCAACAACAGGACTTTGCCTAGTGTCTGTGATTGTGACTGGTGTAGATTTGGTTTTAGTGACAACTGTAGTGCTTACGACATAAGGTTTTGTAAACTCACGAGACGCAACATAATATATTAAAGGAATACGCGAAGTAGTACTTTTTACCAGGACAGACAGGTTTCCGTTGATTTGGACTGGGTTTGAATTGTAATACGCTGTTACGTAAAACTGTGAGTAAGTGCTACTTTCATAACTTATCTGGATACTTTCGTCAACACCAATGTCAAATGAACGGTAGTCGGGATTATCAGTTAAAACACTTATATGGTCGCCATACGCATTTACAATCGTAACATTGATATAGTACTTCGCTGAAAATAGATAACAGTAATTTTAAAACTTTAATGAACATTTAAACTTTAAAAGTTTTTTATTTTGTCAACAAAGTTTGAAAAATTAAAATGTACAGTGAAGGATGTTCATGATGTGTTTTGTAAAGTCTACATATATAAGCAATAGAAAAACAATTTGGTAGGTAGAAAGTTATTGATTTTGGGACATTTTATAAGTAATCAAGTTTTTAGGTATATAAGTAGTGGTATAATTAAAATTAAAAGGATATGCTTTTGAAAGAAGACAGATTGTGTATTATTATAGCAACAAATATAAACTTTAACCAATAACTTAATAACTTAAGAATTTTAAAAATGTAGAAGAAAAAAGGAATAATATGACCCTTCATCTGTACCTGATGGTGATGATGTAGTTTTATCAACTGGAAACTTTGTGCTGACGAGAACTGGGGCTTTAGAAGATTGCAATGTTGATAAATTAGTAACAGCGTATTTTACTATCATTGATAGTTATGCAAACATATCTGCTATTTCAGATGGCCGCAAGAAATTTCCACCTAAAATTTTTCTATAGTCGAGAAATTTAAATTACCTTTATCGGCTAAATATATTATTTGAGGTTCTTGTAATACAGCGCTTCCATAAATAATTTCACGAAATTGATTGTTCACCAATACTGGCTGACCAGAAGGATTATTTGCAGTTATCACCACTGGTGCCAAACTGTCGATCCTTGTGTCAATTGTTTTTTGCTGCTTTCCTGGAATCTCTATTTTTTCAAACTCCACGTTCTTAATCGTCATTATGACAGTAACTGGGTACCGGTATTCGTTCTTTACAACAACATTGAAATAGTACAAACCAGCTGTAATGGAAATAATTTTTATGTGAGTACAGTAGAACCTGTATAAAGCGGTCACCCTTGGGGATTTCTCGTGTGACCGTTTAATACAGATTGATCGTTTAATACAGGTCTTCAGCAAAATCACCAGACAGGCTACGTGTAATATTTCATACAACTAAACTTGAACCAATCGGTATTGTTCCTTAGCATAAATGCCAAATGGCAACACTATATTAAGCAATTTTTTCTTAGTTTGAACTAGAAATTAAAAATAGTACACATAAAAATGTAACGGCAAAAACTGCTGAAAAATAATCAGTGGAAAGCGTGTCAACAGAGAAGGTGGTTATAACATATAAATTCCGTGCGTATATCCCTTTCTTGGAGATATGTTTTTTTGTCAATGGCTAAAGGGCGTAAGAAAAGTTCAAATCGCTGGTGCAATTCTTCCACACAAACAGAAAATATTGTTGGCTGTTATGAATCATTACGGAAGATAAATACAATATAAAGACCTGTATACAATATAAGTCACATATTACAGAAAAAATCTTTAATTATATATTTTATTATGGGATGTATTTACTTAACCTGACCGCTTAATACAGTTTCAAAACAATGACAAATTAAGTTTGGGACATTGGAAAAGGTGACCGCGTCCGCTTAATAGAGGTGACCGTTTAATGAAGGTCACTTTAATAGTATTTATACTATGAAATTTTCGGGACTTGGCCATATGACCGCGTAACACAGGGTGACCGCTTAATACGGTGCCGCTTAATACAGGTTCTACTGTACTACTTTATCCGCTAAGAAATCCCAGCATATTAACTTTTAATAATTTTATTCGGTTTTTATTTTGATGTGTTGCCCTCGCAAAATAAAATTTTTATCTGATCTTTACTACTGGTTTATTGATTTAGTGGTGAAAAACACTAACATTTGGTTGAATTGCGTTAGAAACGTACACAAGCATAAATTATAAAATGAATAAAATACTTTCAGTGTACATCAATTAAATACTTGATTGTAAAAATATTGAAATCATTGTTTTAATATTCTTTGTATCCCCTGCCAAAATATAAATATCTACAATATCTACATACCTGGAGAAGGTCCAAAAGTTGAAGTCGTAAAATTGTAGATGACATCTGGAGTCGTGGACAGCAAAGTCAATGGTAATTCTGCAAAATTTTTAACTTTTTCATTCTACATTCAACGCACAAATCCGCGCGAGGAGCAGCTAAGCTATGTTTAACAATTCATATTATTTGCTAAAAGTCATCAAGAAATAATACGTTACATTTAAGATTGCATGAAATAATACGTCATCAAGAAATAATCAAGAAGTCATCAAGAAATAATACGTTAAATTTAAGATTGCATGAAAAATTAGAAATTGCCGCTGAGGATTTTCAAAAGTGATATTGTAATTCAATCAAAAATAAAGGTCACAATAAAAATCAGGAAACAAAATAAATATGTATCAAACAAGCAACTAGAAATTTCTTTACTACCGTGTTGAAATTTGGAATAAATGATATATTTACCTGACGGCTTTGTGGTTTCAACAACAACTGTTGCGTTCACTACAAAGTCCACGAAAACATTAAATAAGAATGAGGTCGGGCATGCAAAGAACTTGCACAGAATTTTTTTACGACTAACATAAAAGGAGCAATACATTATTAAAATTTAATCATAAATAATTGCATGTGCTGGGTGTTCGATTGTAATATACTCTAAATCATTATTGTGTGGTTTAAAAAGGTTGAAATTATTATTTCAAGACTAAAAAGATGAATTGTTTTTCAACTTTTCGGGGGAAAAAAATTCATTCTGTTAGCTTTCAAGAATAAAAACAGGCGAGCACAATCATTTGAGGAGTGTTGTCTGCAGTATTCTATATTCTATCTTGGTTACTGGCTATGGTTGTAATAACAACGACGGGTAACAAATGTGAAGATAATTGCCTTTTATTGCTGTACAACGTAGCTCACAGCCATCTGAGCAACACTTTTGATCATTTGGGCATTGAAAGTCAAAGTAACATTCATCTTGTAGTTGCCAAAAATGAGGACAGTCATCACGAAAGGGAACGACCGGACATTCACCATCCTTGCAGTATTGCACTAAGTCGTTCGGTTTTGGCTTTGTGTCTTCTATACGAAAGATATATTTCAAAAATTACAACATCACAATAGGCATGTATAACAATTACGACGAGTTTCGAAAGAGAAGAGCACTAAGCGTGGTGACTTTCCAAGCCAGGGTCGTAGCTACATATTCCACTGATACTGAAAAACTGGAGATTTTCAGAGACTTCGACTCTGTGAATTATGATATACAGCCACATGAAAATAGGTATCTTTCATGATTAAGTTTTATTCATTTAGTTATCACGTGCTTATAACAATTAAAATTTTTTCCAGTGGAAAAGATAGTTACATAGAAACACAGAACTTCACAAACCTGTGGCCGGGGATAAGCATTTCAATTCACAACCATCCGAGCAGCATTTTTTATCACCAGAACATTGAAAGTCATCAAAACATTCGTCTGTAATATCAAACTGTTCCGGACAATATCGTCCACCTTCGTGTGATGGACATCTGCCAGGTTTGCAATTCTTTTGTTCTTGAGACGAAACAGCTATTTTAATTAAAATTAAGTACAACCAATAAATACCCTTAAGTTTAACAGAAAAACACAAAAAACATGTAGAATCCTACACTCTGTTTCAGTACTTCCTCAAAGCGCATTCGCATTATAAACATTAGTTCTCCCATCTTCCAAATAAACTTGCAGTATGGAACTAACTTAATAAGACCTATTCAAAAGGGATATTTAGGTGTATATGCGAGCATTTTCACAAAATTTTTGGCATAAATCAGCTGAAGTATTGACAGCACAACGTGCCAAGAGTTGCACGGTTTGTTTATCGCTTTTTTTGTATTTATGACGCCATAATTTGATTTGATTGAAGGAAAGGCTTGGTTTGATGGCTTTCTAACTTAATTTAGATAATGAGACCAATCATACAGTGATTTTTCATGTATGGAGCGTCATTTGTGAAAGTTTTGGTTGCCAAAAATAAATACGACCGATTGATCAGAAATGCTTACATATACGTCAATGTACCATTACATGGAATACCATGGACAACAGCGTTGGACTAGAGATCATTACAACTAGTGATAAATGATTATTTATCATGATATAATTTAACTCAAACATTTGGAAATCAAAAGATGAGTCTTAGCGCAAACCGCTACAAAATATGAATTGCAAAATTTACAGCTGCAACAGCAGATGATAATCACACACTCAATGCTCAAAAAGAGCTATTTTAATTATAATGATGTAAAATGTACGTATGAAACGTAATCACATATTCGAACCTCCCCCCCCCCCAATTTAAACATGCTTTATAGACAATGTACAGGCTGTCAAATCTCTCCATTCATCGAGGAATTTTCTCCCTTTACTGCTTAAAGAGCCTATCTCAACCTCAGGGAAATAAGCAAATTAGATAGAGTTAAGAAAATTTGCAATATATTTTATTAGACGAAAATTTGATCTTCCTTGAGTATTTGTGCCTCAAAGTTGGATTTTTTTGTGTTTCACCATGAGGTGCTATATGACTGTATCTTATTCACCGAACGTGACGTTCATTGAGAGCACGATGCTTTTTAACGCTGTTGTATATAGTAAAATTTGTAGCAAAGACGAGGAATTTATTTGTTTATTAAACTTGCGTTATATTGTGCACTTTGTTATCGAATCGCACTGTAACTCTAGAGCGTTAAAAAGCAGCCTGCTTTCCGATGTACGTCACATCCGGTGAACAAAAACCAGCCACAGCACCTCGCAGTCAAACAAGAAAAAAGCCAACTTTGACGCCCAAAAGTTAAAGATCAAATTTTAATCTTAAAAAAATATATTGCAAATTTTCTTAAAATTGTCGACTCTATCTAAAGAGATTATTTTCCTGAGAGTGATAGCTGTTTTTATAAGTCATGTTTTATGATTTATTATGAAATATTCAGAGATACGTGAAAGCTGGGACGTTGAATAAAATCAAAGTAGAAAAGTAGAAAAAAATCATTTCAAGCAATTCACTTTTTATTTTACATCTTTATGAGATGAGGTCAAAAAATCTTTAATAAAATAATGGGAGCCACCCACAGAAAACACAGTTGTCAACGAAGTACTAGCACAGCGAGAGCACAGCAGAAAAGCGATAACATTTGTAGAATTTCGCATAATAAGGTCATACACGAACATATTTTTTGGTAAATGAGAAACAAATATCGACTGCAACAGTCAGCCATATTCGATTTCAGATGAGTTAATGAAAGTGATGATGGTTTTCCAAGAAATATACAAGCAAATAAATGTCGATTTGAAAGTACATGAATTTCATCATGATTCGTTAAACTTCAAAAGAACATTTTGAAAGATCATCAATTACAAATGTAGCACAGGATTTCACGAGCAAAAGTTATGGCATGAAAGTAATGGTAGATTTGTTAGCTAGGTTTTCAGTATCAACTATACGTGTTGTAAACAATGAAATTTCCTTTTTAAGCAATCGATCTTAACTCCCCACAATCGGATCGATATCGTTTGAATTTCTGTAAGGGGGAGATGGACCGTACATACCGACTTAAATTTCAAGATTATCGCGTGCTTACAGCTATTAAGTATTCAATACAATTGATGACATTCCATTGGAGAGTTTCGTAGCTATTGCGAAACTTTTACTTGGGTCTAATGTCTAATAAGTGGAATTTTTGATAAATCCAAGGTCGCGACCTCAGTCTACAAAGCAAACATTGTTTATTAGAAGATTGTATGTATATTTACGGTATTTTGAGTCAACCCATAACTTAATTATCGCCATTACACGTGCGACAACAAGTGCGACAACACGTGCGACAACACGTGCAACAGCACGTGCACAACATGCAACACTGATTAACTGGTCGAAAAGTTGTTGCATTAAACATCTTTCTACGCCCTAAAGAGAGACAATTCCTCATAGTTCGTAGTCATTTTATGTGGTTTTCTGATCACGACTAGCTTGATCGTTTGCCACATCGAGGTAAAAAGTAGGTTAAATTTTTATTTATGTGAAGGATGAAAAAGCGCCTTATTTTTTACTATTTTGTTATGTATATCACAAAATATAACTGACTTACTGAAACTGCAAAATATTATATATTCCTTAATGAACAATGCCAAGAATGTTTGATGAATAGTCAGGTTATAAGTCGTTATAGATGAGACTCCGCATCAAATTTTTAGTTTCCTTCTAAACTAATCGCACATCCTGATTATGTTTTTGGAAACGTACGAGATCACGCAAATTTAGTACGATTTAATAAGGATTATCAAAATAGTGATGGATTTAAAGTAACTTTTTAAGCTGACATTTCTAATAAGATTATTTTGACACTATCAATGTCACACGTTAATGCACCCAAAGGGCAGAGATCGAGAAGACACAGATTTTTTTCTCCATCTAGTGAAATCAATTCACCCAATGAGGTATAATCATCAGTGACATAAGCCGTTAATTCAAAAGAAACATGTCAGACAACTGATAAATCACTTCAACACATGTTCATGATCACGTGTTGACCAAGTGCTTGTTAAAATGATTTGTTCAAATCGATTTTATCAATTAGCAAAAAATAAATTCATTTCACAATGAGCGTTAAACCATGCGATATGTAATAATGCATTATTGAATCAATCAATCTATGGTTAAATATTTGAGAGAAGAGACGCAGTTACGTTTCACAAAATTGTGAGACAAGAATCTTATCTTTTTAGAAGAGAATGTTAAAAATTTTGTAAAGGCAAGTGATGAATTTCAACCACCAACTCAAACTGATGCAATGAAAATTGTAATACCGATGGTAAATACATGAATCAATAGAAAATAGTTCGAGCATGCGCGGGATTCACGGAAATTCACTTTTTTGACATGTTAAATAATTTTTAGTTCTAAATTGACATCTTGCATAGGACAGGATTTATATATATGATAAATATACTTAACTGAATACTGATAAGTAATTATAATTATACTTATTATTATTGCTAATGCAGTTTGATTGGGTAAATCAAACATAAAGTAGATTTAATCTTAAGCGATGATAATGAAAAAAAAACATTTTGTGATATTTTTGCCTCATTGAGGATGCAAAAATAAGTAGACACGCAGCAGTAAAGTATGACATAAATACACAAGAACTTGGAATATGATAATTTGAATCAATGAGCATTGTTGCAAAAACGCATAGTTTTTGCAACAATGGAACAGTTCAGAGAAACTTAAATAAAGCAAAAATATATCATAAATACCAAAGGAGTTTGGTTGTACACCGCGTTAAATACATGTCAATGGAGATGTCAAAACCTTTTATCTTATCACCAACTATTTCAAAATCAATAATAAATTCATGCTTTAAGTAAATCATAACAAATACAACGATAAATAGACAACAATCAAGATAATCTATGAATTTAAAGCACCGATGAATCTATGAATCTATGAATTTTTTTGCCCCATTTATTAAAAAAATGAAAGTAAAACAAAGCGTCTTTGTCCTGAACACTTATTGAAGAAAAAGTAAAACCAACATTAACTTTAAATGAATATTCATTGCCCGAAAATTTTCCTAAAACTTTCATAATAATATCATAGTCAACAAGAAATATGCTTATACACCAGGAACATGAGCGAGAGTTTTGGCCGCACGAAACAGACCAGAGTTCAGTTGGTGATAAACTCACGCAGAATATCATGTTACAGTGTGGCCATACTTTGGATATTTTACCATTCTGGAAAGCACAGTCTGTAGCGCAAACAAAAAATTTAAAAGTAATAAAAGGTGTAACTTCATAAGAAATACAGCAACTATTAAAAAATGAAACAACATTCTTAAAACAAAGACACATATAGGCTTCCATTCTCCTACAATCGATTTTGTTAAAAGATTGGACAGTTTATTCATAAAAAGGCGAGCGAAAACCGGTTTTCGGTCAGCGTTTTTGCACAAAGGGAAGATAATTACTCTAAAATAGCCTGGAAAAATACACAAGAACGAATCTTATCGATAAAAAAGAAATTGAAACCGGACATCTATGGTCATCAAGCATGATTAAGAGCAAATGTCCGCAATAAGGCGACACAATGGAATTTTATGCCTATAGGTTTGCGTTACGGGTTATTCGCCAGCAGCACAGCGCAAAAACAAGATTACACAACCTACATTATGCGTAAATATAACACTCATTTTCATACTCAATGCTAATAGACGACAGCTTATGACGTCCAGTAACACGCAATGTATGAACAACTCTGCGCACAAACGCAAAGAAAAAATTCATAATATGTACTTACACGCGATGTCAAGACAACATGCAACACAAATCATCAATAGCCATGAGCTCAATTTTTTCCTGGTTCTCATTTTAAAATCGAAAATCGCCAATACGCAGCTTTGAGACCAGTGCTTCGAGGCGTAGACGCTATCGACTAATATGGACACCCAAAAATCACTTCCTATTATTACAAACGCATGAGCTAAATTTTCAATTATTATCTAATGTAATGTCCTTCAACGGAAGACTCGTATTCCACCTTGCGATGACAACGGCAGTGCAAAACTATATGATCGAAAAAACAGCAGAACTTCCGAGTATTTTTCGTATAGCTGAACATTTGAATCGCGCGAGAGAAACATGCAGAATTGGCACAAAAAACTGACATTGCTTTATGAAATCTATTTTTTAATATTACATTGGATCAAGAATGAAATTGATAGGTAGTTATGACCACCTACATATTTCTTGAAACATAATATTATTCCAGACACGTCGATAACAGGTCGGTAACGGACATGAAATAATTACATGAATGGAAAGTTAAAACGAATAGATGGTGTAGTTTTTCGCTGACTGGAAATCCAACTTAGTCTGAGATTTTATATTTCATTTAAAGGATATACAATGCGTGAAATTTCTCAACATAAGTTTCGCATTAACAAAATCATGTTTTATATTCAATTGTTAGACAAACAAAATCGTGATATGAGACCTTCCTGTGAACCATCGTCGCATTGAGATGAAATGGTTTCATTTTCAAACATTTTGGTTTTCCAGACATTCACTCAAGTCACGTGACATACGGTATGGATTATTTCTAGTCATAGAATTAGTTATTGTTTGTAAAATAAAAGTTGTGATAGGAATTTGGCAATTGACAATACAAGTCAAATACAACACACCAAATTGAGCATACAAAACAATATTATGCACATTATAGTGTTTTACCCTGTAACACAGACAGCCAGCTAGTTTTCGTACTGCTATATAAATTTAAGAAAATTATCATTGTTTATATGAATAAGTGAAACAGAAAATTTACATAGCATGACTAAGCAAGCAGGTTGGCTCAGAGCCTTTGGAAGCTTTCAAAAGTTGTGGGTGTTCCATGTTCGCAATTTGATAATACGAGAAACTGAGAATAGTGATGAAACTGCTTAATATTAGTTATTTTTGATAGTTTTTTTCTTCCTTTTTTGGCATATATTACAAAAATTGTCAAAAATGCATTACATACAATTGATTTGCATATATTGGCAATGTTCAAACCATTTGAAAATTCAGTGAGCTTGCAAAAACTCAGCGTGCAACATGTCATATATTTTCTGCAAGAAGCTAAATTTGTGGGTGTCCTTCCTATATAGAACACCCACACTCTAAAAGTTGTGGGTACACTGACACCCGGACACCCACAGCTTCTTAAGCCCCTGGGTTGGCTTACCACATATTGAGTATGAAAGGATTCAATTGAAAGTCAGATGTTAGATTTTTTTTTAATAAAAATTAAGGATATATATCACTGATGTTGCTACAAATGGTTATGATGAAAACAGTTTTTTGAGCTCTTGGGTTAGTGAGAAATTTAGATTTAGTGATCAACACTAACTAATCAATGTAAATTATTACATTGTTTTTCAGGCACTTAACAGAAAACAAGAGTATATATAAAAGAAGAGTATATTGTATATTATAAAGTGCAACTTTTAACCTTAACCTGTTAAATTTGCAAATGCCTCTCAAACTAAAAGTGAGAATAAGTGAACAGTGCAATTATAATGCATACATTCAAACCTTACTATCAAGATGTTAATAGCTGGTCTCAAAATTTGCAGTGTTCTTTCAAACACAAAGTCTCTATCATATACTAATTGCACTATTGCACCTATTCTCCCCTTGTAGAACCAAAGTGTTCTACACATAGTTGCCCATACCTATAGTTAAACTACATATAGTACACTGTCAAAAAGCAATTCAAGCAAAATTCTAAATTGTAATTTCTTCTTTAATGAAGCCACCTTTTAGGTAGTCACGTGAAAAGACATCAAACTTATGCTTTGTAATACATGCTCAAAATTCAATCCGCAGTAGCCAGGAGATAAACAATATGATGCTTTGGTGTACCTTCATAATTGATTTAAAATACATATGTAAAATATTAATTCGCAAAGGTAAACTAAAAACATACCTATTTAAGATTCTGAGACTTTCACGATGGATCTTTATTTCAACAAACACAAAAAAAAACACTTAATTCTCATTGCGGAAAGCAATTGTACTAAACAAACAACAAAACTTTCATCAAAGTTTAGTATTTGCTGCTCAACTCAAAGTTGGCGCCATGCCATGCGCATTTGTTGAGGTTACTCTAACTCAGCCTCAGGCCTCCAATGACACAGACCGCGTGTGAAAAATTTGTAAAATCTACTGCTTTATGTTTCTCTATAATACTAAGAACAGGCGCCATTAGACCAGTGTACTATAATAATTTGTATTGCATTTATATTTTTATTTTTCAATTGCAAATTTTTAACTTTCATTTACTTTTTTTTACTCATGTCTGGTAAAAACAAATTCCAGAGACGTGTCCTCTCAAAAAGAAGTTGAGCAAATGAAAAAGTTACTAAGCATTCTTCTATACAACAAGTTTCTCGATATTATATTGATTAACCAAGATATTTATAATCCATCAACATCATGAAGCAACAGTTGTCATCCTTCCACAAAGTTTTTGGAAGTTGAGGAGGAAAATAATTTGCCTTGACAAGGAATAGAAAGTGGAGATGATCAAGAAAGACGAGGATTAGAAGTCAAGAAAATAATCAAATCTACCAACAAGCCATAGCCATGTGGATGAGGGATTTCAATGTACACTTATAACAATCATGTTCAACCGTGGCTTTCGTCTTTCTACAACCTAACAATGCATCATTGTGTGGTGTGAAAGGTTGAAGACAATATATTCTCGACTTTTAACGACAGCTGACGGCCGGACTAGTCCAGTGGGAGATTTCAGGTTTTATAAGAAGCATCAAACTGACAAGCACATTCTAAAGAAAGCTATCGATTACATGTATTCGTACAAATTCCTTTAGCATGAAAAGATGAGAAATGAACAATCACAATTGCAGCCTCTTATCAACAGCTTGCAGATCTACCCAGTGGCGTAGGATGGGGAGGGGGGGCATCGAGGGAATATGCCCCCCCAACTTTCATATTTAATACAAATTTAATGATAATTTCACTTGCTTCCTCCGCCACTGGATCTGTGTAACATAATTTGCATGGAAATTTCGTCTGTCTTCACTGGCAAAAAAGTTTTAAGAGCTCTTATCGTTTCCCAAAGAAACCTTCGTCAATTAACAATCACGATGAAATTTACTAATAAATATGACTTTATGTCGATACACTAGCCGTCATTGACGTCAATGCGTAGATGAGCAGCAAGTTCGGTGATTAGTTTAATTGCGTGAATGAAATCCATTGATGAGAATGTTGAAAATATTTAAAACTGTTTTTTCAACTTTTGGCAATGCTAGGGGAAATATGAAATATCAAATGTCGGTTGTAACAGTCTAACAGATTCTTTGCAACTCAACCTAGTCTGAACTGACGATCCGACAAGATTTCACCAAAAACGCTTATTTAAAAGTACTTATGATATTTTAATGTTTTAAAAGCTATTTATAAGTATTAACAGGCTTTAGTTTAAGTTGAAAATAAAGTGAATGTGATGGACGGTAACGACCACGTATCAAATTCTTGAAACATAATATCATTCCAGATATGTCAATGACATGTGAAGTCGGTTTTTTGTTGACTAGATATCTATCATAGCATGAGGTTTTTTCTCTCTTTTCCATGAAACGTCGTTCAAATATTTTATTGCTTTCATTCTTATTAAAAGGTTTGACACATTCGTTTTGTGCATACGATGAAAGGATGAAACGAAAACTCGAAAAACTTTATCATCAAGTATGCACAAAAAACTGGTTCTATTGATTTAAATTTTTTAAAAGCAAGTTGTTTTAGTCTGGCTTTGCAGATTTACAATCAGCATTTATTTTTTTGGAAATGTTCTGTTTTTCCACTGAGTAAACAAGAAAAATTGCACTACTGGACTATAGGTAACGGGTTTGCTTCGCCATAGCTAAAGGTGAGGCTGCTGAAATTTCCAAAAAGAACAATTAAAGTTCTATGAATACTGTGGTTTATCATAGATCCATCAGTCATCAAACAATTTGAATAGGAAATGGCCATTAAAATTGTAAGCTGGGAAAGAGTACCATACGCTACTAAATATCCTCACTATTAAACAGGTTTCTTCATTGTTGACGAAATTCGTAGCAAAGACCAACACATCATTGATATAAATTGACATCCAAAAACTCTTCACATACAATCTCTCTTGACAGCTACTTACACCTTATTCTTTATCACCATCCTTAGTTCAATATAAACAGAAGTGACCTCACGCAACTATTTATTATCACAATTTTTGCTCATTTATTTAAGGGATCATTTTATAATCAGATTGACGGGGTTTCAATGGTATGCCTATTGGCATTAGTACTTGCTAATATCTTCATGGAATTACCCAATGACTGCCATTCCTATACATAGTTAAATTACTAAAGACTCTTACATGATCTCTAACAGTTCTTTTTCATTAAAAGTGAAAGAGACACACTTTTAAAACAATGGAAAGCATATCTACCAAACAGATTGACCATTATGACATTAACCTTAAATAAGGTTCATTCACAGTTGGTGGCCAAATGCCACAAGTTTGCTGAGTCATCAATGGAAAATACAATGATACACAGTGTCACAGTTTATGAGATGGGTCAGGCAAATATTCATTAAGTCAGAAAAGACTAGAAGTCAGTTCGAGTATGATAGTCATTATGAGTATATGTAATATGCAAGCTTTGTGTTGAACGCTGCACCTAATAAACATTGCTCAAGTTTTTTCGTTATTTGTAACGGCTGTCAAGCTATTTTGACTCAAAACAACCTATGAACTACACCCAACAGTTTTTGCATTGTTCTTCGAGGTTAAGAGGACGAAGTTGGTCACAAAACTGCTTTATGGACGTTTCAAACATCTGCATTTTTGAACCAATAATTTAATCAGACATGCTTTAATATATGTCTCGAATGTTCAACTGGCAATCACCCAAAGTCAATTTTAGAACGCGATTATTGAATTGATCGTTTCTGATGGCGAACGATAAAGAACAAATAAAATAGTTTTCAGTTCAATCAAAGTTTTAATAGCATCAAAGTTCGGCAATGTGGAGTTCTAATAATTCACGCCGGTTTTTTTAAAATAATAATTTCGAAGTGTGTAGCCTTTTAAACCTTAAATAAATATTATTTCTGTCAATACTCTTGAAGGATCAACAGAAGGAAAAACGTTTCGGAAATTTCTCTCTTGTCACAGTGTTTGAAAACTGACTTGAAACACTTAGCACAGCAACGAGATATATTGCAGTATTATCTATTTAAAGTAAGTTGCGTGTGGCGACTACCCAACAAAACAATTACATAAACAAGACGTTGAAAGCTGGAATTTTCTTTTTTTATTCAGTAAATTGTAAAGTCTTAATGCACCTGTCGCACAATTACAACTTAAGCATCTTCATCGTTAGTCGCAAGAATAAAAAAGTCCAAACAATTGCTGCCGCTACAGATCTTTAATCATGTTGATATTTTATTACGAATAGTCATTAAGTATAATTTGCACCTTTCATCGATCTAATTAGCAGCAAACCATAAAATATGCTCACACATCACAATCATAAACAAACCAATGCTTGCCAACTGGTGATAAAAAGGTCCGACACACATCCATCCATGTTTCTAGAATGCTAGCAATGTGCTTGGATAAAATATGTGTAGCACAATTTTTTAAAGGGTAGGAAATAGTAACTTAATTTTACATACGTTTTCTGTATCAAAAGAAACTCTTTAAGCCTGGCTAAAAACTTTCAGCTTAATTTACTATATTTACACAGTAATCTTATTATTTCAATGCATTACTATAGGCACAACATCACGAAAACAAAGTCCCAAGAAAGCTTACAACCAAATCAGGTAAATTATAAATTTACCCAACATCGAATTTCTATTTGCTAAAATATAGTAAAAACAAAAGTGAAGTCATTAGAGCATAATGTACGAAAAGACATTTTAGCATAGACATTGCGTGACTGATTTATAAAATATCTCGCACTCTCTAATTATTGCTCACTCATCATTCATTCTAATTGTTCAGGTGATATTTACATGAATGTGATCCATGGTGAACCATATTTATACAACTCGTCAATCAATAGAGATATTTCGAACTTCATTTGGTGACTCCCGCATGGCAATATACCGCCGCACGGATCAACCTGAAAGTTCTGGAGATTCAATAACTATATCTTCTTAGAAATGCTTCAGAGTTCAACAATTACTAACAGCGATAGATCATGCCGCTATGCATAGATACGATATATTTGATGATTTAGTACAGAATATTTTCACTGGAGGTCATGGTTGCCATGTAGGTACAAAAACCAAACTAGTGAAGGGTTTATTCTGATTTCATGATTTATTGGGCAATAAACACTTAGAAGTAATCTATCAACATGACGGCTTCGACATAAGGCATAAGGTTTCTTCTGCAATATTATTTACTTTTCTAGAAGGTAAATTAAAGCTGGAATGAAACAAGTTTATAAAGAATAAATTCATAAATGAATATTTCCTTTTGTGAATATCTACTCCTGCGAGATTCAAGGTAAAAAATGTCTCACTCCAAAGCCAAAAATGCAGTTTCTTGAACAATGTTTGTAAACTTATTCAATGGTTTAGAGGAACGTTCCCTTCGCGTCCAGAAATAAAACATCAACCCATAAGCTCATGGCAGGAGCACTATCTGCACATAACGTGTATGTCTTCAAAGGGGTTTTCACGGGAAAAGGAACATTTAGCAATAGTACCTCGATTTTCACCCCCATGATCAACGTAAACGTCCTGTATAGCTTGAAAATATACAATTGCACGAGGTTCTTTCTTACTCTGATCTTTATAGTAAATTAATGCTTTAATTCTACGATCAAACACGAACCATCTTTTTTTCCAGGAAACCTTGAATTTACCGCCTTTTTTCTCCAGGTAACCACGACAACACGAAGAAGTCACACTGACA